AAAAGGACTACGCCATCATATCCGAGCTGGGTTCTCCCTTCGTCCGAACCGACTTCACAAGTCGCCCGAGCCGCCTCCCTTCAAGTACCCGAGCTCAGTCGACAAGAGTATCCGAGCCCAATCTTCTCAAAGTCTCCTCAGCTCGGGTCGAGCGTCATGACATCGTCCATGCTGCCCGAGCCAAAATCATCAAGACACCCGAGGCAAGTACTTAGTAAATATTTGCCTTCAGAAGTATCATTTCTAAGCAAGACATCATTTCCGATATACCCGGAAATGATAGGAGAGAATCTAGAAGGATCGACTCAAATCAGGAAATCTTCCGAAGACTTCGAAGAATAAGAAAATTATCCTAATCCGCGATATTCTAGCCGACTTCAAGATAAATGGAAATCTTCCGAGAATATCGCTGGAGAGGCGGCTTATCATCCCTATATAAAGAGACTCAAGGCTCTCACTTTGAGGGGGGGAGATCGCTCTAGAATTTACACTACACAAAGCTCTTACAGCACAAACACCTTTTTCTTTTACGATCAAACTCTTGTACGATCAAAACTACTCTTTTCATCAATAAGATCAAGAACACCATCTTTGGTTACAATTGTTTCTGTTGTTCTTTGAGAATTCACGTTTATCGTATCCCTAAAATAAAACCCTAGACAAATCTTGATTGTGTTAGTTTCGACTTCCACAATGTTGACTCTATTTTCTTGGTTTTTTGTACGGTCAAATGCCATCATTCACCATTTCACACCTTAAGTGTGTGGCTTTGGTCCTTAACTTCCCTACCAATAATACAGTTTTTAGCTACTTGTCTATTGTCATATATACGGGTTTATTATTTGCTTTGCTTACTTTGGTAAGACCATCTCCAATGTATTTTCCTATTTTTAACTCTATCTTTATAATAGAGATGAGTTTTCTCTATTTTTACTCCAATGTGTTCCTCTATTTATTCCTCTAAAAGTTTAACTCTATTTATAGAGGAAAAAATAGAGATTCTCTATATGTTCCTCTATATAGAGCAAAAAATAGAGATCTCTATTTTAGAGGTGAGAATAGAGGTGGGTTGGAGCAAATTTGCCTCTAAAATAGAGTTTAGAGGCAAATATAGAAGTGGGTTGGAGATGCTCTAATGGTAGAGTTCTTTTTTAAAAGCTGATAAATTTAGAGAGTGTTGTTATGATTCTGTTTGAGAAGTTATGTACATAATTGAGTGTGTTGAGTTTAGGGATAATTGAGTTTAGTCTTATGTTATTCTATATAACATATTACTAAGTATGTTGTAAAGTCAATTGGTATGTGTTAACTGTGACTTTGTTAAGACACAAGGGTATGTGGGTAAGAGTTATGACTTGTTGGATAAGACACAACTGTTACGAACGGTTACGACCCTAAGACATCTATATAAGTGTATGTGTGTTATTGTACAAAGTTGTCGAGTAAATAAAAACAGTTTCTCTCCATCTCTCATCCAATTCTGTTTCACTTTCTTTATCAACATGCTCTGTACAAATAAGAGAAATGGTTTCCAAATTGTACAAGAGCAAATCTCAACAATAATAAAGGAGGGATAAAGAATACTTTGAGCTGATGAAATCTATATTAGAGATGAGTAACCAAAAGAAAGATTGATGCCTTAAACTTGTAAGATGTGGAACCAAGTTGTGAACGGTGTGACGACTATGAAATGTTGGTTGGAGATGGCTTTATGCAAGCTACAGGTCGTGACTTTGTTTTATAAAGGTGGTCTCTCAAATAATGTGCTCACTAGATAATAACCCGTACTATGTGCGGGACAAAATGATTATTAAATACATTTTAATGTATTAATTATATTGAAGGTGTTCAAATTTTATATTATTCAATAAACGGTAGTGTATTACTCCATCCGTTCTTTTATAAGTGATGTTTTAAGCTTCTAATTTTGTTTTTAAATAGATGATGTTTTCAATTTTCAATGTAAAATTAATTATTTTTTTCTTGGTTTTGACGATTTATATTTTGTAGGTTTTTTTTTATTGGTTGATTAGATAATAAATGATGTTTTAGTTTAGAAATAAACAAAAAATAAATAATTTCTTAATATATGTGCAGTCTCCTAAAACATTACTTATAAAAGAACGGAGGGAGTAATAATTATCAAGATTAGTGAAAATTTTCATTTATGTATTAATGTTTTGTGTTTATCATGATTAATGATCTATATCTTGTTATATTAATAGATACACAAAATACAGTATTAGGTACTCTATTTTGTATAGATTTGTATCTCTTAATTATATATTTTAATTGTATTTTAGTTTTAATTAATTGAGTAAAATAAAAAGCATAAATTAATTAGAAAAAATAAACATAAGTAAAACTAATGGCAAAATCTGTAAATATCCTAATAAATGTTGGGTCTTTAATTAAATGGATTGAAAAGCTCTGTGAGAACGACACGTCAGCATGACATTTTCATTAATCACACATGAGGGTAAGGTTATTTTTTAAAAATGCTTCTCAATTAATATATAAGGGATAGTGTGTTGATATCTTCCTTTGTCTTTGGATCTGTTCGGAGAAGGGTGCCAACAACATATTCCATTTCATAGCCACGATGACAGCTTTGATTTCAAACAAGGCAAGAGAGAAATACCATTATATCGACAAAGATTAGGAAGAAATAAGCATTTAATTAAGAAGCAAGAATTATTGTAAACCTTTTGTTTTATTAAATTTTCTAGCCCCTCTTTTTCCTTGGATTTTCATATGTTGAGCATTAATTATGTCGTCTTTCTATATGGTGAGTAATCTTTAATCGTCCGCATGGTGCGTAATCTTTGATTTATGACTATGAAATTAAATCTTCTTACAAATGCATTTAATTATTTTCCAATGGAAAGAACTTACATAAAACGCCTTATTTTATTTGTTATGATATATGATTAATCGCTTATTTCTGCATGTGAATTTATGCGAAAATATCTCTATTTAAAATGGTTGTGTACCTTTCTAATCGTTTATGTGATTTCATAATTTCTCTCACTAAAACTCGGTAAACCCAGATTTATGTGGTTTTAGAATAATCAAGTTTACAATCTAAACGATTTAGCAATGTTAATTACTTCAAGTTTTCATTTTTCCCGTGCGTTGGGTCGACTTCCTAGTACTATATAAAAAAAAACGGCACTCCAGTGTATAGAACGCTTTTTGTAAGTTTTCATATGTTTTTCGTAAATAAATTCACCAATTAACAACACGATCAACCAATTTATCCTAGATTTGCTTATGATGAATAAACGAACCTTTCAAAAATAGAAGTGCAACGGTTTAGAAGATGGCGTGATTGAATTTCAGAGAAGCCACATACTCGCAGGTGGTCGAGGGCTTTTGGAACTTCAAGCAAGTCGAAAAAACCATCATGCATGGTACGAACCAGAGAATTAAACAGTGTTGAAAGCTTGGGAAGCATTGCCAAATGGTGATTAACCAATCATTATCGTTTTCCTCTTCCTACATAAAAAGTTGGATTTCATCACCTTTGAACTTCAGTTGCATTGGTTGAACAATTTATCGAAATTTCCCACGCATCTTAGGAAAGTGGAGTAATTTGTGTAAGTAGGTGAAATTCATTAATTATATATATATACACAACTAGTATAATGTTTTATATATACTTACATTAGGATCACATGCAAAATGTTGATATATATATATATATATATATATATATATATATATATATATATATATATATATATATATATATATATACTGATTGGTAACTCACACACACGTCTTTTACCACACACTTTCATCTAAATACAACTCAAACTACCTGATCCATTATACTATGTCACAAAGCTCATTTTTCCATATGTTAGAAACACCAAACTTTATATAAATAGATGCTCAGATTTACAAAAAACTAAAGAACGAAAACGAACACTCGATAAAATATGAAAATGAGAGTTTATGTGCTTTTAAGACTCGTCCGCCATATTTCCCCCGGTAGTGGAAGGTGGTTGTGGCTGCGGTGGCCATCTCCGCTTCTCTTCTTCTTCTTCTCGTTTCCTTCGTTCCTCCTCTGCTCTTTTAGCTGCTTCTTCTTCTCTCTTTCTCTCTTCTTCTCTCCTCGTAGCTTCCTCTTCACGTTTCTTCCTCTCCACCTCTTCTCTCTCTTTCCTCTGCCTCTCTTCCTCTTGTCTCTTTGCCATCTCTTCTTCTCTCTTCCTTGCTTCTTCCTCGCGTTTCTTCCTCTCCACTTCCTCTCTTTCTTTCCTTTGTCTCTCTTCCTCTCGTCTCTTTGCCATCTCTTCTTCTCTCTTTCTCTCCTCTTCTCTCTTCCTTGCTTGTTCCTCACGTCTCCTCCTCTCTTGTTCCTCACGTCTCTTCCTCTCAACCTCCTCTCTTTCTTTCCTCCGCCTTTCTTCCTCTTGTTTCTTCGCTATTTCCTCTTCTTTTTTCCTTTCTTCTTCTCTCTTCCTCGCCTCCTTTTCTTCTTCCTCATGTCTTCTCCTCTCTTCTTCTTGCCTCTTAGATTTCTCTTCCTCTCTCTCCCTTTCTTCTTCTCTCTTCCTCGCCTGTTCTGCTTCCTCCTCACGTCTCTTTCGCTCCTCCTCTCGTCTCTTAGCTTCTTCCTCCTCCCTCTTCCTTTCTTCTTCTCTCTTTCTTGCTTCCTCTTCTTCTTTCCTTCTCCGCTCAGTTTCTTCCTCTTCACGTCTCCTCTTCTCTTCCTCTCGTCTCTTAGCTTCCTCTTCCTCTCTCTTCCGTTCTTCTTCTCTTTTCCTTGCTTCCTCCTCTTCTTTCCGTCTCCGCTCAGTTTCTTCCTCTTCACGTCTCTTCTCTTCCTCTCGTCTCTTAGCTTCCTCTTCCTCTCTCTTCCTTTCTTCTTCTCTCTTTCTTGCTTCCTCCTCTTCTTTCCGTCTTCGCTCAATTTCTTCCTCCTCACGTCTCTTCCTCTCTTCAATCTCCCTCATAAGCTTTGCAAGTTCTCCCTCCGCACATGACACACACTCAAATATCACACTTTCTTTCTGAGCTTTCAACAATCCCTTAATTGTCTCGTTACTTAAGTTGAAAGACACAGCAAGTACCTCCCGGTCCAATACTTTCAGAACCGAGCTCTGTCCTACTAAAAACTGAGGGTGGTTCGTCTTCGCGGAAGTGCTAAACCCCATAAATACAAAAGAACTGTTTTCGAAAGACATCTGAGCCATAGGATGAAACTTCGGCACAACAAAAACATCTCCTTCCTCAACCATGAACCTCTCGTTCTTGCTATTGTTCTTGCAAGAAGAAAACGATTGTTGGTTAACCACCCGAATCATGCCTTCCCCTTGTAACACAATCGATATCTCACAAGCACTAGGGTTCCAATGCGGTCCCATCATCGATCCCTACAAAATTGGATACACCATTTTTAAGTCACATCAAGACTAGACAAGAAACCAAGAACCAAGGATATATATGGTGTTAGTTTTAAGTGGCTTAACCTTAGTCAGATTAACCATAAAAACCCCAAATCTTGAACCCTTTAAAGCATCCAAATCCTTCTCGTCTACCACTATGCTCCGACCATTGATGTTCTCAAAGTCCGGGTCTTCCTCAAAAACATTGAACGTTCTTGATTTCTTTTTATTAGTATCAACGATTGGTTTCATAGCCAAATGATCAGTCACGTCTTCAACTCTGATAAAGAGCCTAACGAGCCGTGACTGCCATTTATCCTCCTGCGAGCCTCGTGTTCTGTTTCTCGGCAGAGCATTTACAATCAACGGAGGTTTTGTTGCTTCTCTTATCTTCCTCAAAATATCCTCAGGAACCTTCCATATCGTAAAACCACACAATGTAATTAGTGAAATAACAACTAGAACTAGAATCATTTACATTTATGAATCTTAAAGAAACAGAACGTACCGCAAAAGCTGACCGGAGAGTTCTATCATCGAAACCCAATAAAAGGTCTCTAACACTCGAGTAGGCTCCAAGACATGGATCGTTTAAACACTTCCCCACATCGAAGATTGCGTAAACCCTAAGTTTCTCGTTGCTATGTACATAGAAGACTGTACCGGAACGTAGCCTGAAAACATCTCCCCGTCTTAATTCTAACGTCCTCTCGCTCTCCTCGTCGATCCAATTCAGAATCCCAGTCCCTATACACAATCCCAATTGCACAACACTACTTTATAATAAACCCTAATCATGCTCTTAAAAGAATCGAATGCTCCAATGAAAAAAAAAAAATTAAGCGTCATTCAATGTTTTAGACGAAGAAAATCAAAGTAAAGAAATAAATGCTTAATTTAAAATTTTAGAGACATTAAATTTTATTTAGTTTTTAAGTAAACCAAAGTTCTAATATCTTATTTTGATAAACTTCAATTTACTTTGTTCACCAAAATAAATTTACCTATCAGTGTCAAATAATTTCGGTTTTACTTAAGGTTTAAGATTTTTGGTCCCGATCAAGAGTTTTAGAAAGCACAAAAGTAGATAGAGTGTTTTGACGTACCAGTGTGAACAAAGAAAACCATGTCGGAATGGAGAAGAAGTGGAAGTAAGAGTGCATTTGGCTCCAATGTTATGAACTGAAGATGATATCCATCGCCGATCTGGACGGCTGATATCTTTCCAAACTCCGTCGCGACGATTGGCTTGCGTTGATCCCTCTTGACCAGAAGTGGCGATGAAAACGACGGCTCAGAGCTCGGAACAACGCCATTTTGGTCCGAAAACGAATCTGTGCAGAGGAACAAGGTAACAAGAGAGAGGAAAATGAACAATGGTAGTATCTTAAATCTCATCGTTTGTTGCATACTCTGATACTCAAATGAGAGAAACTTTTAAGCTCTTTTATTAACAACATAAAGGGAACGATGAGAGGTGGGTCCGTGAATGGAAACGTGTCGTGATAAGTGAACACGTGTAACATTACCTTGACACGTGGTGAATTACTTCTTGATACTAATCTAATGTTCATGAATGACAATCGTTGGACAAATATTATAATTTCGTCGAAAAAAGATAGTTGCATTTGATTGGTAACAAACTTTGTTAAAACAAATGTTAAAATCGTTGAAGGGACAAAAAACCATTTTTTTTTGTTTAAATTATCAACTTAAGCATTTAACGTATCGTCGATGAAGTGGTATAATTACCATGTTCGTTTTATAATCGCAAGCGATTGCGATTGCAGCTACGATTTTAAAATTGCGAGATATTGTTCGTTTAGCATTCGCGTGACTGGTCGCCATTTAAAAAGTCGCATCGCTATTTTTTCCTGTAATAAAAAAATTCAGTCGCAAATCGCAACAATTGATTACGCGACTGAAAAACAAACAATTTTCAGTCATAGTCGCAGTCGCAGGTCTCCTGCAGCCTACGACTGCTAAACGAACAGCACCATAGTCGCAATAGTTTGTGCTTTGTATCTTTTTATAGATCCTAGTGGCACAATATCTCTTATGATATGTGGTGATCATGAGATTAATTTTAAAGTAATATAGGCCCAGCCCATTAACTTAAAACTGTGAACCATTTCACATATACCGTAAGAACCTTCGAGCCCTCATGTGAACAAATTGTTCACTTGCTTAGTTGCAATTTGCATGAGGTTTGTTGATGGATTTAGAAAACTGCGTATATTGCTTATATATAATAAACAGAAAGAAAAAAAACTACATTCAATCCAATTTAGTGTAACACACTAATTTTGAGAAAATAACATGTTCATAACTAAAAGGACATGCTATTTTGTTCGTGCTACGAATTTAGAGAATCAGTATGTTATATATATAGAAAAATATCATGCAATATTATCCAACATTTTGCTATAAAATAAAATAGAATGATTATACGAACTCCGAATGATTTTCCCAAAATGTGAAAACAAAATCCTGAAATTCTTTAATTACAGTTTTGCCACTTTATCATTTAGGCCATTTAAATAATTCACCATATTTTCTACAAAAAGTTTTCAAAATTCAACATATTACTGTGTTCATAGAATACTTTTATAGCAGCTGATCACTAGTTTAAAGGTATTTTTGTCAGTCTGTGTGTTGTTCACTACAACTTTCGGCAAAGAAAACTATACTTATTGCAACAATTCATTTAAACTCAACAAAACTGAAAAGTGAAAGAGTTGTTCTATTTTTTAAAACTAGCCTTTTAGATGCATGGTGTTTTTAGACTGTTATACACAATTAGTTTTGTTTCCCCTAATTATAATTTAAAAACAAAACAAAAACCAGTGGTTTAACCATAAGAAACAGCAACTATGTAACCAGGATTTAGTGAGAGATAAGAGAGGCTCCACTAGCTTATTCTTCCCCGCAAAATTATTGATTCTTAAGTTTAAAGTTCTAGCTATTGAACTAAAAAGAAAACTCAGTAAAATAAATTTTTATAATCATAAACTTTTGTTTTTTACTTGGAAAGCATCCTAACTAGAGTCTTTTTTTCTTTTTTCTTACAATCGGAATCTTTTTTGTTTTTCTTACAATCGGAATCTGTGATTGAAATATATAATAAATCGATAATGGTATATAAGGCATGTATATCTAAACGTTATCTAGAGTTAATATTGGACTGTCCTATAGTCATAATCATAAGCTCTCCAATTTTGTTGTCACATGAGATGAACCCACATTTATTTGTTACCCGATTGAGCTACATTTTATCCAAATTTCTTTTTAAATTTTAGGCAAAATCTTATCCTTCAACATTTAAAGTTTTATCGTCGTTTTGTCTGTGTTTGTATACCATTAGCCGTTTATTTTCCACCATGCAATTAAATGTGCATGATAAAAAGTCCTTAAAGAAACCCCATAGTTTATATAGCTCATATCATATAACATGCTTTATTTTTATAAAAATACATATGTCCACCGTCCATGTTGAAACACGTACTTAGTAATCTGACCAGAAGACATACTTTAGATTCTATCAGGCTATAGATTCCAATGGTCCGTATTCTAAACCGTACTAATTCTTATATACGTATATCACAGTATCAATTACTATCACGTATGATACGTAAATTTGCCAATGAAGTCGTTCACTGCAAATAAAAACACATTCGTCCCAAAACATGTGTCAAAGAAACGCAATCCTTAATGCTTAGCTCAATTTCCATCAATAATCTATATTATTCGCATGATAAAAAAGGATTAATAACAATATTTTTCATAGAAAATTGAAATCCATTCTCAAACTGGTTATACGGTTTGTTAATTGATTGTAGCATGTTTGCAACATATACAACTTTTTAATTTATCTTTTTAGTTTTAATTTTTGGTTACACGGGTATTAATTTTAGTAGATAGGTTTAACGGTGTGAATGTAGCAGTAGTACTGGATACAGTTTAGCTGCTATGACATTCACATACATATATAGTTTGAGTTTAAGTTCTCTAACGATTTATCTTCAAAACTGTTAGATATGCTGAGGACCCATGAAGGATTAATAACAATATCTTCATAGAAAATTTGTCATTCTCAAACTGGTTATACGTTTTGTTAATTGATTGTAGCATGTTTGCAACATATGCAACTTTTTAATTTTATCTTGTTAGTTTTAATTTTGTAGATAGGTTTAACGGTGTGAATGTAGTACTGGATACAATTTAGCTGCTATGACTTTCACATACATATATAGTTTGAGTTTATAGTTTTCTAACGATTTATCTTCAAATTAAAACTGTTAGATATGCTGAGGACCCATGAATGCTAATATTTATGCTTAACAGCATATAGTTATATCAATAGAAAAAATTAAAACACAATTTACTCATAATTGACAGATATATACATTCTTTTTTGGTCCAAACTTGACCTCCATCGACCTAAATAATCGATGCTACGAGAAAGATATCCACAATATTACACCCATATATAATTTTATCTACATTCTGCTTCATTGTAGATATCGACCAATTATAAATTAATCTAATTATCACAATATATAACCCCTATATATTATACTATACTACGATTAATAATGAATTAGCTAGTAACTTCTTACATAAATTGGCTCATCCATTCTAATCCATCAATGTAATCTGGCGAGTAGAGCAAGTTCTCGTCCCCCTCAGCGTCAAATCCGATGTCGTAATCTCCGAAAAACGGTGTCGCATGATTGGCTTCAATGGTCACAGAGGATGAGATCGGACTGTTACTTAAAGTTCCTTCAACTCTTTGTGCAAGTCGTTGGATCTCTCTTTCAGCCTCGTAAAGTTGTTCCTTTAGGTGAAGAACCTGAAAAATTAAAATTTGATTTGATTTAAATTTACACTGTCCCATTAATTAACAGCTAAGCATGTTATTTATTAGAGTTTGATTTAATGAGTTTTATTTTGTGGGGCTGGGGATTAGAGAGTCCCAATGAGTCAATGACTTAGACAAGCAAGTAACCACTAGAATACAAAGGGTGTTTGTACGGAAAGATAATTACATATAATGACACTTTTGTTTTTTGCTTTTCACTTTGCTGTATGATTTTTCTTTTATAGAACAAAGATAATTACATTACAATTATTAATTTATATATCTTACTATTTTAGCTATAGAAGGTAACAAAAAAACTTTGAATTTAATCAGCATTTTGATTTTTCTTTCTCATTTGCTTATAATGCGTGTTGGTTTCACTTGGTGTCCATTATCTTGTAAAAACAATATAATTTAGAAAATATATTTTATAACTTTATCATCTATATTGTATATAGTGAAAAATTAACAAATATTTTCTGGTAAAACATTTTAATATTTGTGTTCACCACTATTAAAAATTACAACCTATAACTTTATCATATTTATGGATTTTTAACCAAATGTTTTTTACTTATCTTTTAGAAAGAGAAGAGACTCTAAGAACATACCTCAGAATCAAGACGACACTTCTCAACGACAGTGGTTTCATATGCGTTCTTGAGTTTAGTGTATTCATCCTCAACTCTCTTGTTCTTCCACCGTGCACGGCGGTTCTGGAACCAGACGGCGACTTGACGAGGGTCAAGCCCTAACTCCGAAGCAAGCCGATCTTTCCTCTCCGATTCAAGCTTATGATCATCTTCAAAACTAAGCTCCAACATTCTTACTTGCTCATCACTCAATTTTCTCTTTCTAAACCACCCATTGCCTCCAGCTCCACCCTCTTCTGCCACCGCAACACTCTTGCTCTTCCTTTTCCTCCGCCGCGCTGGTTTTGCTTCTCCTGCTGGTCAAAGAGAACCCCATCAAAACCAATGTTACAACAAACCAAAAAGTCTTTTGTGTTTAACTCTTTTAAATCCTCTCTAGTATCATGTACGTATGTGAAAAAGATAACATAAGACAAACTTATTATCCGGAAAAAGAAAAAAAATAGACCCACTTGAAGATATTTCTATAACCAATTTTGAGTGTCTTTTTTATATGAAAATAAAAAAAAGATGGTAACTTTAGGATGTGCAAACCTTGTTGTGGTACTAATGGAGTATAGACATTAGGGTACAACTGAGAAATGAGTAGAAGATTATGATCATCTACATTCTGGTTATTCATGTTTCTTCTTCTCTCTCTTAGATTCAATAGATTGGTGTTGTTTTTTGTCTCACTTTTTTCTGCAATAAGAGAAGTTGTGTTGGGAGAAGCTGAGGACTTGTCATTTATAAAGGAGGAGTAGGTGTCAAGGGATGGTTTGATTAGAGTTTGTTTTTTTCTAATACATATTTATTTTTCCGGATTGGGGCTTATGATTCTTTGAAATTACATTATTGCCACTTAGTATATCAATAGTAGTTGTAGTTCTCAGATTACATATACATCACTTTCGTTAATAACTTAATATTGTTTCATATTGCAAAGACATGACTTAGTTAACTTGAAAAATATCATTTTCTTTGTCGAATTCATGTGACAACAAGTAAAAAAATAAAAAAGAATAAACCACCTGCCAATATCAATTGGACAATAAAATCATTTTAAGTTTTTATAATTTCGTACCAATTAATAAGTGGATCCAGCCATATAATATAAATATTAATTAGATTTGAAAATTTATCTATATTTCTCTACGTTGAAATTTTTTAAAATATGCAGCTTAGTTCAGTAACTTTTCAACTAAAGTTTAAATTAGTCTATCTTTTTTACATCTTATACTTCTTTTGGCAATTTGGAACCAAAACTCACTTAATTACTAGAGCTCCTAAATAGTTTGTGTTACATACAAACGCTTGATTACCTTAAGAATCATAAACAAGTCAATTACTTCATGTGAATTCTTATAAAACATTTTCCATTTTTAATATATATTCTTCTTAAGGTATGGATATTTACACCCAAAGCAATAATCAATAGGTCCCCTTTGAAAAAACTAAAAGAGATACATGTAATTATCATTAAATATATGTAATGTGATAAAGCTTTTACGTGTGATGAGAGGATTAGAGGATGTCGTTATCAACATCATATGGATAAGTCTAAGCAACAAACTGAAAGAGAAAACATAAGTGACTTGTCTTTCAAAAGGTAGTTTACTTTTACTCTCATCTCTCGTATATTAATAATTTTCACTCACTCTACAATTTCAAACGTTTTCTTTAATCGGTTTTCTTTTTTTTTGAATTTAATGTTAAATTATATTTAAAGAAAAAATAAACGTTGCTACATTATTAATACAAAACTTTTATAATTTTTAGAAAGAGTCAATCCGTTGTCATTGTCTTGTTGTAAACCATGTTTGGATGCCACCAGCGAGTGAAAAGTCCCCTCTTCTTGTAATCGTGCTCATCCGATTACGAACATTCTTGTCGATCAGTTTAACAAGCTTCTCCGTCGTAGAAGGTTGTTCCCCGTGTCTTCGATTATTCCTTTCTCCCCAAATAGAGTGTATCGTGTTCTGGAAAGTATAACCAATAAAAAACCTTTGTATCTTGTCCAAATCTTTGTTGGCTACGTATTGTTCTTTAATCGGTTTTCAAACTCAAAACATATACTATTTCTACGTATCGTTAACGTTTACTTTGTGGTATAGCCAAAATCATATTTAGGTATTTCAGAGCTATAATCATAAATAAGAGGTAATCGTCTTTTTTAGCAATGACCAACACTACAAGAAAACATAGCAAATTCCGACAAAACAAATAGTCAGAAATTCGTCGAAAATCCGTCAAAAGCTTTCCAACTAAGCATTTCGTCCGAAATGTTCGTCGGAAATGGCTATGTTAACATATATTTTGAACATACGTATGCGTATGTTTGTAGAAGGTTTGAGAGAATTTTAACCAATCTGCCCTTGTTTCGTGTTTTAATTTTACCCAATGACATTATGAAAACTTCGTTTCCGTAACAGGTCATATGGCCATTCCGTGGCACATGGTTAAGACGGATTAGCCCTCATGGACATTGGCGCGAGGATGTGATGATGTGTGACATGTCTGACGAAATTTGAATCTATGATAGCTAATTTTTTCCGCCAGGACGTAGGTCGTACACTCCATTTAATGGTGCATTAATTAAGGGCAATCGAGTGCCAAAAATTATTTAGTGGATAATAGATTGTTTGGATTACTTTGATATTTACACAGATCTTCGATAGTAGTTGTCTACAATTTCAACAAATGAACTCTCCTTCGTTTGAAGACTAACTGCGATTTTCGTATCTGGGAAATTATCGAAGGAAAATTCCTGTCCCTGGTCCACCAATTCTGTAAGATCTCGAAGATTATCAATGTCTTATGATTCGATAAAATTTGTAGACAATAAATTATTTTTAGCACTATCTTTTTCAGCATTTAATTCAGGTGTTTTGGGGAATAAATGTTATGTTTGTTCATCATTCCGTCAATAAATGCTGTTTTTTTTCCAGGTGGTAGACAGCGGTGGACAATTGTTCGATGGACGAAACAGTACTCGCAATTTCCGGTGAATGGATATGCTTGGCTAGTGGTAAGTGGGAATTTCGGGTAGCCCCAAACCGTGAGGCCAAATGTGTATCTTTCACCGACGGAACAGTTTACGAAGAATTATTGGCCGAAGTGGTTCGAGCATATGGATTAAACACGAACGAGTACCGGCCAAGTCTTAGCTTTTGGTACTTTGGCGAGACCCAAGTCTTAACTCAAGGACATATGCCGCCGGTTTCGATAGGTTGCGAAGTGTCCCTGAGAAAATTTAAAAGTAAAAGAAGGGAGTGCAATGGTTTGAATATGTTCGTCTCTTTTGTGAAGGTAGATCGTACTGCTAACGACCGAGATGTGGTGGGTAGCCTAGATGATGACGAACTTCTTGCATGTTGTAAAGAAGTTGAAGATCTGTATCGTAAATCTGTTGTTCAAAAAAATCTTGAAAATGGTGGTTTGCATAGACAACCTTTACCAGCTGTGGACCCCGTGGTGCAGAAGGCGAAAATCGTGGACAAAGAAATGGTTACAAGATTCGTTGACAAGGGTAAAGGATTGGTCCATGAAGATGACCGTAGCAATTTCGAGCCCATTTATGAAGAGGAAGATGATGTTGAAGAACCAACTTATGATTTCGACAGATGGTCAAGTCTGATTAACAAGGAATACCCAATGGACTGGGATCCCTATGCTAGAGGTTGTGGGCAAGTTAGCAACATTGACAACAGAGAAGATGGACCAGACGATGGAGTTGTGAACATGATGGACCACTCTTCTGATGGACAACAACTTATGCTTCTGGGTGGGAATATTGTGGCCGAAGGTGGTGGTGTTAACGTAAATGCTCCTGGCTCATCGAGTGCAGTTGGTGTGGCATTAACTGAAAAAAATGGCAATCGCGAAACACTTGAAATGGTAAATTTCCACGGGCATGATGATGATCACACTATGGGTATCGACGAGTGTGAAATGTTGTTACTTGATGATCAGCCTTTCAGGGACAATATTAGAGGTGTTGGCAATGAAGTTGGAGACATGGATTTGAAAAAGGCTGCAGATGCCATATATGTTGGAAGAGTTTTTAAAAACAAAGTTGAGCTGCGCGACACATTACGTGTGTTCGCCATGAAACGGTTGTTTCATTTTAAAGTGAAGAGGTCGGACAAAACAAGGATGGTAGCTAACTGCGTCGACCCCAAATGCAAATGGAGGGTGTTTGCAAAAAACCATAAAAATTCTGAGAACCTGGAAATCAGGAAAGTTAATTTGAAGCATACATGCGATGTCTCGTATAGGTCAAGGTTTGGGAGGAACGCATCGGCTAGAATACTTGCCAAACTCATGCAATCGAAATTTTCGAATGGAAAAAAAGGTCCTCGGGCATGCGAACTTCCTGAGATGATTTTGGCGGAGTTGAATGTAACCATTTCGTACATGAAGGCGTGGAATGCGAAAGAGATGGCAGTTTGTCAGGCAAGAGGCAGTGAGGTAGGCAGTTACAAGTACTTGAACACATATCTTCATTTGCTGAAGACATCTAATCCGGGGACAATAACAGAGGTTCTTACATCCGTGGACAAAAAAGGTAACAAGCTATTCAAATATCTGTTTTTTGCGCTTGGGGCATCTATAGCTGGGATCAAATACTTGAGGAAGGTGGTTGTCATTGATGGGACGCAGTTGAAAGGGAGGTTTAAAGGGTGTCTAGTCGCGGCAAGTGGACAGGACGGTAATATGCAAATTTACCCCATAGCTTTTGGTGTCGTGGACAACGAGAACGAAGATAGCTGGGTTTGGTTTTTCACGAAACTAAAAGATATAGTACCAGACGAGGAAGAGCTTGTCTTTGTGTCTGATCGACATGCAGCTATAATATCTGGCCTCAAAACGGTGTATCCTTTGGCCCATCACGCTGCTTGTTCGGTACACTTATATAGGAATGTGAAGCATAATTTCAAATGTCCTGGGTTGGCTGCCATGGTCTCAAATGCTGCTAGGTCTTTTACTGTTGGAGATTTGGATTATTGGCTAGCAGAGATCGACAGACGCAAACCCAAATGTACTGAATATTTGATGGACATATGTCTTCCTTTTTGGACTCTAGCGCATTGTCCACAGAAGAGGTATAATCTTATGAGTAGCAACATTTCGGAGTCTTTAAATGCGGCGTTGGTGAAAGCTGTGGACTATCCTATTGTTTCTACGGTGGAATTTATTAGGACCATGCTGATGAGATGGTTCTACCTGAGGAGGAAACTGGCAGCAAAAACAGAATCTCGATGCACACCAGAGGTAGAGGACATTCTCATAGAGCATCTTGGAGATTCTGTTGAATGTGCAGTTTTGGCATGTAGCGATTGGATTTATCAAGTCAACGATGGCATGGGTATTGTTTACGAAGTCGATCTACAGTGTAAAACTTGTTCATGCAAAGTATTCGACACTTTGATGATACCATGTTGCCACGCGTTAGCTGCAGTTGGGGTTAGAAATATAGACATATATTCTCTAATTGGTGATTGTTACTTCGTTGGTCCATGGATGAAAATGTATGAAATGGTGATTCGGCCAATACCCAAGGAGGGAGAGGTGGAAATTCCAGAAGAAGTGAAGGTTGTGGAAATGAAACCTCCGAAAACGAGAAGAGGTGGAGGAAGACCGAAAAAGAAGAGAATCCCTTCCAGAGGAGAAACCAAAGTAAGTGTTGATATTTGTTTACAATAATTATAAACGTGGACAACATTATGACTAATTTTGAATGCAGGGGAAAGCGAAGAAGAAAAATAACCCACACAAATGTAGCAGATGCTTTGGAGTTGGTCACAACAAAGCTACTTGCAAAAACCCAATATAGTTATGGGTTGGTGGACAGGAGGAGCGACTTTTTTTTGGGATGTAGTCGATTTACTATGCATTTTCTCCCCAAATATTTTTTTTGGATATTTCGTTGTCCACCTCTTTTGTTTATTTTTGTTTCTTCGGTTTATTTTGGTTTTTGATGGCAACTTTTATATGGACCATGTGTCAAGTTTCGATCACAAACTTCGGCTTATTTTAATCAGTTTCGAATCTATTTAAGAGTTTCAATATTAATGATGGACAAACATAAATGTTGTTATTTTGTTAGTTTGCAAATGTTGATATTGACATACATTTTGTTTTAGATAGTAGGGACTCTAGATAGTACACTGAAATTAAATTATAGTACATTAGAACATGTTTTGAAATTAAATTATAGTACATTAGAACATGTTTTGGACATACATTTTGTTTTAGGTAGTCCTCTGAAATTAACACCTTTTGTTCTTTTAGCAAATCTCACACAACTTCATGGATTTCCAGTAAAAGAAACACTTATTACATGACAATTCCATGCTACAATGGAAAAAACAATCGCAATCATCGTCGCAAACTCTTGCAACACATTCAGGGATAGGTTTGTAAGACCAAGTCTTAACGAATCTCCCTGTTTCAGCCGGAACCATCGAATTGATTTGCATAAAGATCATGTTGCAGATCTGTTCGGCCTCTCCCCCTTCACCGCACGTGTACAAAGGCTGATTTGGATGTGATCTACACAGCGGCGCTAGGGCCCTGTCGGACGCGGCTTGATTCCCTGAGCAAATGTAGAATAGCGCAAGTGCGAAAATTGCATACTTCAAATGTCTGGATGCTCCATCGAGTAAAAGAATAGCTCGATCTATAGGTCCACCTTGACAACCAAGCCGAAGTCCTTCGATGTAGAGGGCGGAAGGGTTTCGTGCTCGTAGACATTTTAAGAAAAATTGTCTATAAGGAGACTGCTCGTTTATTCGGGCTGGGGTGAACAACAACTCGTCGATATCTGTTTCCTTCAAAACAACGGGGTCATAGGCTGCATCTCTACCTTCCCGGCCTGCGAAAATGAAGGGGTATAGATTACGGAAACCGCCATGGCCTGCAGCACGAGCAATGAAGGGTAGATAATATGAAATCTGGTTCTCCATCAAATGATTATAAAAAAAAGGGTTGGATCTAGGTTTGAACTGTCTTAATTCTTTCGATACGCGACTTTATAGGCTCGATACTTGCGTTGGTGATATGGTTGGTTGTTGTTTATAATAAATGGGAAATAAATGTGGGTTTAATTTGGATCAGAAGGAGACAGTATTAGTGGGTGGGTATAGCCACGTCTTTGCTTTAATCATTACCGAAGGAAGCTTGCCTTTAAAATTCTCAACATAAATCCAAACCAAACCCATGGACATTATCATACGATAGAGCACACGCAAAGCGCAAACGAATTACACTGAAACCAAACCCATGGACTTAAAAGGTTAACCAAAGTATAACCAATGCTTGAAGAACAACAACTACTAGTAAAACTGTGATAGCGATGGATTTTGTGTTGCTTTGTTTGGTTATTTTTTGGATAATATCTCTGTGGACTACTTCTCTCTCTGCTGCCCTTTTTGTCTCTTCAAGCAAATCCCCTATTTCCTTCAGTTTGTTTCGGATATCTGTCTGGGAATCTGTCCAAGCATTCCTTGGTCTTGCTTGGGGATCGTACTCGTCCTCCCAACAGAAGTAATTGCACTTCGCTCCCGCCTGGTAGAAGTCACAGACATTTATTGTAAATTGCAAAAACTTCTAATTAGATCTCGGACAATATACCTTGTAACGCTCGCAGGCAAAGAAAATCCTCGAATCGTTTCTTTCTGTCCTCGATTTCAAGATCTGCGCGGGTTGTCCACAGTAACAAAGAACCCGATCTGAATAGAATTGAGATGCGCGAGAGTATTGTCTGAACCCCATTTAATGGCGTAGATGAACAGCAGCCCAGATTGGTTGAGCTGATTCTTTTTTCGTTTTTAAGGAGGACTCTAATTAGGTTTTTGTTTAAAAAACCTTTTTATGTGGAGATATTTTGTACAAAACACATAGGGAAGCGGGAGAAATATGGAACACAAGTACAGAACATTTATTTTTAATTTTATTTTTCATTCCTTAAAGTAGTGGACATTAACTAGAACATACAAAAAAACTTTATAGAACAACCCCAACAAAAACACCGGGGACAACGGTTGTCCACATCGCAGCTATAACCTGGTCCTGCGCATATTGGCACCTCAAAGAATCTCCATGAGTTGCAAAATCGACGGATGGTAATTGGTTCCATTTGTTCAATTTGATTGAAGACTGCTTCCGCAATCATTTCAGCAAAGGCATGGCTTGGGCATAGGCCTAGGAATTTTGACAAATCTTTCATTCCGGCATGGTATTCTCCATTACATATTTGGAAAATTCCTAGGCAGAAATACATTTCTTTGGTTTTATAAGCAACATTTGACAAAAGTAGTATTGATTCTTCAATCTTCCCTTCTTTCGCAACAAGTCTTAGAGACTCTAGGTAAGTAGCGTCGTTGTTCCCGGAACGATAGCAACGAAGGAAGAAAGATCTAACAGGATATCCAATATTCACTTGTTTGGGATTACGCATTAAGTAACGTAATGAAACATGTTTAAGGACATTTTCATCATTACCTAAAAACATGCACGATTTGCACGTTGATATCAACTTACCTAGATGTCGATATCCACCTTTTCCAACTCGGATGGCTATGTCGACTAAGAGATGGGTTGGTATGGAGAGGATATGGCACTTCTTTGATAATGATTTGGAAGGTTTAAGTTTCAAAGACAAATTGTTTTTGAGGAATATGAAACTGATTATGGAGATAGATTTTTTGAGAGCTTTTTATAGATTGGAGCATTTGCTTCAACAAAATTCAATGCTTAATTTAATGGACAAGATAGATGTTGGTGGGATAGTATTAGTACTATTTAATTGCCCAATTTAATTCTTCTAACTATTAATTAAATAGAAGACAATTCCTCATTTAAGTGGACCTTTCTTCTATTTGTTTATTATTTCTTAAGTGCACTCTCATCAGAGTAGCAATTTTTAAAAGTTTTTTAAAAGAGTTTTAGGAAGTTCGTAGACATTGTAGTTTCAATTATTTTACTCTAATAACCTAGCTTCAACCAATAGCTAACCAAACATATCCAAATAACAGGTGCAGGGGAAATAACATAGTTTAAGTTTCAAAAAATAATTATACGTTCAAGTACAGAAACATAAGGTCCATAAAAAAGTTGAAAAACAACAAGTTCTAAACAAATTACTTAAATAACTCATAAACCATTAGTTCGTAATTGCACCCACGAACTCCTCATAAACGTCCATAGCATAGTTCAGCCGGAAGTTATCTACCATCGCGTCCGTAATTCCATCAAGTCCTAAACCCTGTCCATGAAGTTCAATAAACTTCACAGCCAATGGTCCGCAGTCTCCAGTGCGATTATTCTGGGAGATGGCAACAGCCCTTTCGTAAGTAAATGTCTCGGGACGCGGGTACTCAGTCGGTGAAGTGATCTCATCCCTGATTAGACATGGAAGCATCTCGACAACCGGAGCCATGAACCTCTTAACCTTTTTCAAATCGTTCCCCGAGAGTAGTGGGTCTAAAATCTCGATCCTCCCTTCTTTCAACTGGACCACAAGACACACCCAATGACCCTTCCTCCAATTCATAGGTAGGTAGACGGTATCCACATCTTCAAACCACATCATCTTCCCTGTCCGGCTTGGTACATGTCCACGGACGTAATTCTTGCAAACTGAGTTCCATTTGAAAGCAACACCCTTGTTCCATTTCTTGAATCGAGGATATTCATTGCACAGCATACTAATGAACCAGGTATCTAGTACAGCAATCCTTGAATCGTTGAATGAATCACCTAGTTTTCGCCAAACTAGGCTTAGCATCGCTTCCATTTCCTGTATGCATCCATGGACAAATAAGGTTAGTATAAATGTCCACAACAAAGAAAAGTGATGCTATTATAGTTTACTTTCAAACTTACAGGTGTATCAACCCAATGTTTCGGCGTCATAATATCTGAGAAGAAAGTGTTTGGAACAGGATGTCCATCGATTATGTATTCCCTATAGAAAAAAAAAATTAGCTCAAAAGTTTACTGGTGGACATTATTTTAACTTGAAGCCACGAAGATGACTTACTTTTTCTTAAAGGCCGATATCTTCGCCAGAAATTTCTTCTTTTTTGCCAAATCAATTTTCCGGAACGGAGTGTATAACTCAACCCCCCCCCCCCCCGTCTGAGGTTTGTTGTCTGGAGTAGCGCCGTATCTTGAAGGAGCTTTTTTTGCCCGTTTAGATGGCAAATATTCGTTATTGGCATCCTCATGACGTTTTTTACCTCGTCGTCCCTTGTTCTGTTCGCCAACACATTCTCCCTTTTGTTCAATGATGTCCATCTCCTTTTCATCCTCCTCCTGAAGTAGACATTTATTTGTAAACGTTTATTAAAAAGTTTATAGATTGAAGAACAGTCAATCCCGTAACAAAGTATAGTTACCTCGTCAGATTGATCTTCATCTTTTTCTTCCTCTTTACTTGTATTATCGACTCCTCTTTCTTCGACTGTTTCCATGGACTTCTCTGAATCAGTTTTGTCCACAGCTTCCTCCTCCTAGATAACATCATGATAGCAGCAATATAATCACTTGAAAGCGTCTATAAGACACTAAATCCAAATCTAAGTTCAAATACTACCTCCTCAGTTGCAGGTTTCTCTTTTCCTTCATCGCAAGTTGAATTAGTGACGTCCACACCTTCATCAGCATCGGTGGACTTCTCTTCGGCAGATATAATGGTTTTCTCCACCCTCTCTTCAAAACCAGAATTGTCTACAGTATGTTCTGTATTTTCTGTGGACAATGGCTTGATGACTTCTGCGATTATGTCCACATCTTCCTTATCCTTCAGACCATCATCATAGCAGCAGACGGATTAGGTTATAGAGTTCACAAATAATTTATGGACAACATTTTTCCATAAATTATAAAGAAATACTACCTCTTTTTCTTCACCGGAAGTTGTTTTCATTTTGTCCACCGTTACTTCAGCACCAGATTTGTCTACAGTTTGTTCATCGTTTTCGATGAACACATGTGCGACATGTTCTGTGTTAATGTCCACAGAACCCTGCACCGGATTATTGTCATCCTCCTTTTCTTCTGAAACTCCATAGATTTCGTCCCCGTCCTCCCCATCAGTTTCATCGCCATCGGTTGAACCCGAAGTTCCTTTATCTTTTTCATCCACACCTTGGTTGTCTACATCGTCATCATCTGGCTTCTCCACCGCATCATCTTCGTCCATTTTCTCGCCTCCACACTTTCCTCCTTCATACTCCATCGCAGAGACCTTGTAATCATATCAGACAAATTACTCGAGGACATGGTTACACATGTAATTCATATAAATAAAAGTCCACAGTCTAGTATCCAAACCTCTTTATAAAAGCTAGTATCATCTTGTAGCTCAGTCTCGTTTACAGTCTGAAATACATTTTCGACTCCAGCTTTAAGAATGTGCTCATCTTCATTCTGATGGTGGACAAATATTAGGGGCGTTATTTTAAAAAATTGTCTACTTGTTAAAACTTGTAGACTTTAATCTTACAATTACCTTATCTTCATCTGCGGCAACGGACGGTCCACCCTTATCGTCTTTCAGGTTTTCAAGTACCTGATTAACTCCAAAGTAGTCATCCACATCTACCTGACTATTGTCCTCGATAACCTCTTTCTTTTTCTTAAAACGAATTCCTTCTCGCTTTCGGGTGAGACACGCTTGGATCTTTTTACCCTCCACTTTATCATACTTTTTACCGCCACACTTCTTAATTCCAACATTCCCAAACTGTCGTCCACCCCCCCTCTCTTGTTTTCCCAATATTTCAGCTTGCAAAGTAAGAATTTTTTGGTCCACAGTAGACAGGATCTCCTTCTTGTGGTCTTTCAGTTTCCTTTCCAGTATTGCAAGGAATTTGGCATCCAATCCGCCGGCCTTAGCTTCCTCTCCGACCACATCATCATCTCCGTTGTTGCAATCTTCCTCTTCGTCCTCTACTACCTCTTCTTTCCTCACACTCTTCTTAGGGATTTTAACCTTTTTTTCTTTTTTCACGATTTTCGGAGCAGGGATGGACATTAGTGGTAGACTATCATGTCCACCATGCCAGACTTCTTTCCCAATCGTGACACCTTTCTCTATAAGGCTCATTACATATTCTACCCCCGGGTCTACGACTTCGTCTTCCCATGCGTATAGAGATTCATCAATAGGCTGTTCTGTCTCTAGGATGGCGTAGACTTCTAACTGGGAAACCAACTTTTTAAGATCAATACACATTAAAAATATAAATACGTTTAATTATGTTTTAATATGATTTTACCTCCGGATTGTTTTCGGCTTCCAAGATGTTAGAATTGTGGAATGATTTCAGTTTCGCCAGTTGGAATACAGACCGGTCGGTGAATGTTTGTTCATCGTCAGAGTCGGGAAGATAGGTCTCCAATAGTGGGATGCAATGGAGAATATGTAGTTGAAGCGCCAAAATGAACCCGTGGGTTGCAACGTGAGACTGTTTCATCTTTGCCACAAGTGATTCAACTGTTTCTACCCTCGACCCAACTTTAACCATACGCATGGTCAAATTGAAGGATTCTCTTCCCCACGGATACGAAAAAAACGTGTCCAAGTGCCTCACCATTTCTACCACCTCCGTTGATGCTCTCACAGGCTGGCTGTCACAGATCAGAATCCCTTCCACAATCACTATTAGTGCAAGCCTCAGTTTTTTCCAACCAGGCATCTGTGCCTTTAAAGGCTTCCTACTATCCACCTTCAGGGACCTCACAATTTCATCGATAGTAACCACCTTCTTCTCACCAAACAAAGTCTTCCAAAACGGCTCTGAATTATTACTTGAATTTTGCGCCTTTTGAATGTCTTCTGCTGCTGGATATGGAAAGCAAGGAAGTCCCGTTACGAGAGCAAACTCTCTGAGTGAGAAACGAAACGGATGTCCACCGAAAACGAACCAGAACTCATGTTCCTTGGCTGTAACAAGCGAACGACATAAAATGTTGTGGACCAGTTTTCCCGACAGTGAACATTTCCTAATTGGCAATTCAAACAGAGAACCCAATGGACAATCTTGTAGGTATTGCAATTCCTTACTACCCTCCAAAACATCTACAATGTCGAGCAAATACTCAGGTTTCGAGTACGAGTTTATTCGGCCTTTTACAGGGTAGCGATCTGTTGCAAATAATCGTTCAGGGAGAAGTTCTGGAACAATTTTTATGTTCTCGCCACTGTCCCTCTCTCCCCTTCTTGGATTTAAACACGGCCGATACTCAATTAGGCCTTGACTATCCTCGTCAGATTCCATGTCTGCAAAATCAATTTCTATATTAGCATGGACCAAATTGTAGTAATAATGGACAAAACTATACCCATCAAATACAACGCCAAAAAAGAACTTGGAAATTTTGAGTTTTTAATACGATTTTTACCTTTTCCTCGCTTGTGGACGAACCAAACCAAACCCAGAATAAAGTTACAGTTTTTTCTTTTAAATGGAAACGGAGAAGGGTGACGAAGTTGACAGAGAATCGACGATTAGGTTAAAAACGATGACAGGTTGTGTAAATAAACTAGAGTCGGCGACTTTATTATACAGTACGAAAGGTCGTTTCACTTTTCCCCTTTTCCAAAATAATTAAAAAAATTACTTCGGAAACCACAGCTTTTCAACCCGCTCTGACTGTAATTAATGCCCTCTCGAACCGTCACTTCGTCGTCTTTCACACGCGAGTTCAAGGGCAAATGCGTCATTCCGTCTCCCGAAAATGGCGTTGTCCACGATATGTTTTTTAAATGGCATTTTTAAAAACCAAAACTTAAATAAGGCTACTATTCCCAAAATTCCCAAGGTTTGATGGTAATTTGACTCCGAGGAAAGTTACCTTCAAAATTTGGTTTTTAGTACGTACACCTTAAACACACCAAAAAAAAAAGTACGTAATCAATCGATATTTTTGACTTACTTTCATCGCTCCAAGCCAATGAAAGAGCTTCTTGGCTTCGGGTGATAAGGTAAGCACATGGGGTCTAATCACGTGTCAACATTCTACGAATTCGCAGGTAGGCCACCTCTCATATTCATACACGTCTTCTGATCTTCAGTTTCCAAACTTTTTTACGACCAATCAGACTACAGTCAGCGATAGCCGCCAAAAATTTTAATTTTTTATAAATATTTTCGTACAATCTAATGGTAAAATGTGTTTTATTCGAAATGTTTTTACTGGTTCTGCCACAGCCACGTACACTACACAAATTATTTTTTTTAACCAATTTGTTTTTTTTCAATAGTTTTAAATTAAATTCAAAAAATTCTGAAAAATATTGTTTACATGTTGACGCGGCTCGGTACGAACTTTTCGTATCAAATTATATGTTTTAACATTTGTAGAAATCGTTTGATTTTTTTTTAAGCATGATTCTTCTTAAAATTTAAGAGATCATCTATGTTCTGATTATTAAAACTGGCGGAATGTAGTTAAATAGAACATAAATTAAAGATATAGCTGATTGTTGTGATAATTAGCTGTTTTAAGAAATGGATTAGAAGAAAATTGTTAAAAAGACATGAAGATTACATGACTTAAATATTTAAATGCAAGATGACGTGTTGTTAGTTAGTTATACATGAAAACAAGAATGGCTAATTTTACCCATTACACCTAGAAAAATCAAATAATTTTGTTTATTAATTAGAGAAAAAATAATCATCTTATCCCAAATAGGCAAATACTTATCAACAAATAACCGTTACTTTTTATTATTATTAAGATACATGTATATATAACAAAAACATTGCGTCTATGCTGAGAATCTTTACCAAATTAATTGAATTTGGTTGGCTTATGAATCGGGAAAATTTAAAAGAAATGGTTAACGTATGTCTTTAGAGATTCCCTAAATGAGAAAGGAGACGAACGATAAAAGCATGTAAGTTTCAACTTTCAAACTTTTGTCCTAATTGGGGTTATTCCGATAAGAACACGTGTCAATGACCCAGTTGAGAGATATCGGTAGCCCACATTTTTTCTGTCAGTAAGTGATGAAAGGGAGATAGACAAAAAAAAATAAAAATGAAAAAGACAATAATAAGAAGATATTTGTTGTTTTAGGACATTTGAACCATGCATAAATGTAAAAAAATATATAAACTGAATATACACTTATAAAGTGAAAGTAAATGATATAAACCGACTAAAATTTTGAATAAATATCCGAAGTTTATTATTTCTTTTCTTCTTTGACAGGATACCGTTTATAAATAAAATTTGTAATGATTTTTCCTATGGAATGTGTAACTATATCGACGTTCATTAAAAAAAAAGACTATATATATCTACGTTGAAGGTGATGGAGAAATAAAATTCCCTTTGATTAGGAAATTCAGTTTTTAGTACTTTGGTTTGTACTTTAATTTGTTAAAAGTCTACATCATACTAATGCAACAAAATTATAATATAAAAGTTTACACGAGTTCAAATAATTAAAATACAGTGTTAACAAGCGTAAAGTATAAGTAATATATAATGTTTCTTGTATGAACGTAAATCAAAAGAGCTAAATGCTAAACCAGAAAGTTTCTTAAAATAAATTAAAAGTAAATAAAGATGAAACCATGATTAGTTTCTTTTTCATTTTTTTAAAACACATTAAAAGCTTCTTCCTTTTTGCACGCTTTATTTGTTATTTGGACACATTTGATTTCGCCTCTTCCATTTCGAGACATTTTCTTACTCGTTAAGCCATGATAAAACTATATGTGTATATACATAAAACAATCGGCTACTGTTTACAACAAGTAAACCAAAATTTAACTATCAAGCGATGATTAAATATTTATCATAATAAGATATTAGTGTCACTATAAATTTACTACCGTTTCACCATCATTTTTGGCTCATAAATCAGTTCAGTTGGAATGATTTTAAAGGAAAAAAAAAAAAAAAAACCAATTCTTTGAATACAATTTAATTTATGTTTTAGTTCAATATGTAAACAATCTTTAGTTATAATCCAACCATGTTTAATAAAAACTTAAAAGGAATAATTGGATTGTATGCCCTAAATTTTATTAGAAAGTTGAAATGTATACTATAATTTTTTAAAATTTGAGATGTATCTTATTCTTTTTCCAAAATGACATTTTTGTCCTTAATTAATAATTAAAAATTCAGAAAACGAAAATAAAATAATTAGAGTAGTTAACTTTTACAAATATTATTTAAAATTCACAATTAAACTGTTCATATTAAAAATTATATAATCAAAATTTTTTATTGTTATTTTGTGAAAATGTTAGATAATGATGGAACTAAACTAATAATTATGATATAAATAATGAATTTTAATTATATAATAAAATTATCTAGATTTTGGGTTGATGTAGTTAATATTTTGGAAAATGATTGGTTTATAATAAACTACGAATTTATATATAATACAAAAATATTTTCTTAATATTATATAATATATATGCACTATATTTATTTTAAATTTATTACAAATATAAATTATATACATTTAATTATCCTAAAATAAATTACTAATTTAAATATTATAACTAAAAATAATTAGAGAAATTGTTAAAAATGCCCCTTTTTCAATACCCCTTTTCAAAAATGCCCCCTTTGAGAGTCCATTTTTAAGTTTGCCCTCTTTTAATTTTTAATGACCATTTTACCCTTATTTGAAACAAAATTAGGTCCACAAAATACAAAATATTTTTTGGCGGGAAAAGTGATCCCGCAATTTTCCCGCCAAAACACTTGTAAAAAACCTTTAAAATACCTTGTAAAATTTTCCCGTAAAATTTTTTCCCGCCAAAAAATTTTCCCGCCAAAAATTTTTTTTTTGCGGGAAAAGTGATTCCGCAATTTTTTTTTTTTGGCGGGAAAAATTTACAAGGTATTTTAAAGGTTTTACAGAGTATTTACAAGTGTTTTGTAAGGTTTTACAATGTATTTTAAAAGGTTTTACAAGGTACTTATAAGGTTTTATAAGGTATTTATAACTTGTAAAACCTTATAAAAAACTTGTAAAACCTTATAACTTGTAAAAACCTTATAAAATAGCTTGTAAAATCTTATAATATCTTATAAATACCTTGTAAATACGTTGTAAAACCTTTTAAAATACATTGTAAAACCTTATAAATACCTTGTAAAAAACCGTTAAAATACCTTGTAAATTTTTGGCGGGAAAAATTTTCCCGCCAAAAATTTAACGCCAAAAAAATTGCGGAATCACTTTTCCCGCAAAAAAATTTTTTGGCGGGAAAACTTTTTGGCGGGAAAAAATTTTACGGGAAAATTTTACAAGGTTTTTTAAAGGTTTTTTACAAGTTTTTACAAGTGTTTTGGCGGGAAAAATTGCGGGATCACTTTTCCCGCCAAAAAATATTTTGTATTTTGTGGACCTAATTTTGTTATTTTCCTTATATATTTGTGATATCTTTTATTAAAAGAAGGGTAATTTAGTCATTTTGTACATAAAAATGGGTATTTTTAAAAATGGACAGCCAAAGGGGGCATTTTTGAAAAGGGGTATTAAAAAAGGGGCATTTTTGTGAGTCTCCCAAATAATTATCTATATTCAAAAAAAAAAACAAATCAACAGTTCAAAAGAATCGACAATGTAAAAAATTAATTAACCAAGATACAAGTCAGTTGTTTTAATATAAGTCAATAGAGAATAAAATTAAGTCGACAAAAATAAAATATAAGTCAACAGTTCAACAAATCAACCTTATCAATAAATCGATGTAAAATTAAATAAGTCAATAGTTTAAAAAAGTCGACTGTGTAAAATATCAATCAACCAAAATATAAATCGACTGTTTTAAAATAAGTCGATAGAAAAGAAATTTAGTCGACGAAATAAAATATAAGTCGACAGTTTTAAAAAACGACCTTATTAGTAAGTCAACATAAAATGAATTGAATCTACCATGAATAAATATGTCGACAACAAAAATTATAAATCAATAAACAAAATAAATAAGTCAATAGTTCAAAAAATCGAGTATTTTATAAATCAACTAGTTAAAATATAAGTCAAGTGTTGTAAAATAAGTCGACACGAAAAATATTAAGTCAACAAAAGTGAAAAAGAAGTCGAAAGATAAAAAAAATGAATAAATTTACCAAAAAGTAAGAAGAATTTATTTATTTATTATAAGTTATAGAATTTTTTAATTATTAATTTTAAGTAATTTACAAATTTGATAATATTTTTTATTTTTTATCTATTCAAAATTTTAGATAATATATGATTACTCCAAACATTGTAAATAATTTTTTGATTTTTACTATTAATAAATAAAAACGAATTTTAGTTATTTTAAATTTTTTTATATTATTTTTAATTTATTAATTAAATACTACTTAAATTAATGAAAGGGTATTATGGTAAATTTTTATTATAAAAAGAGTACTATTCAAATTACTATATCACTTAGTGTAGTTTTCAAATTTTTTATATAATTTAGTATATTTATAAAAATCTCTAATAAGATTTTATTTTCTTTCTTGTAAAATTTTTAATTGATACATTTGTCTTTAAACTCAATTTTTTTGGTATCATAGTAAATAAGTGATTGGTCACGATTGTTATTGTGGACTCTTGTAAGTGATTTAAAATTTTTGATGGAGTTTAGAAAATTAAAATATTATTTGGTAAAATTATCAGTTTAAAAACAATAATCTATTTTGAATTTATACAAGTTAATTGATTTTTCACGAATCATCCCCTAAAGCCTGATTAGCACCTTTTTCAGGATGGTAAGTTAAACAAAAGTAAAATTTTTAATTCATATAAGTATGATTGACCGGCAATTATCAGCATAATCTTGTGAAACTCATGCGATTGATTTTTATCATCAATAATTTGCAATATACCACTTCAATAATTCGGATAGTATATATAAAATACGCCCTCCGTGTCATAATATTAAGATGTTTTAGAAATTGTTTTTGTGTTTCACTATATAAAATATCTTCAAGTTTCTATGCAAATTATAGATTAATTTAATATTCTATAATTATTTATATTATGCAGTTTTTTCATGATTGATTAAAATTTTTATAGTAAATACCTTTTAGTTTACATGATTTTAGCTAAAACATCTTATAGTTTTAAACAGAAAGAACATCTCATTAGCATAAACAACTATAGTATAAACTACTAGACTATAGTTAAATATGAAATAGTATTTACAACCGTACATATACTTTTTAGAAAACTAAACAACCTACAGTAGTTTATTAGGAAAATTGTCAAAGATTATGCCGACAATTGCACACTTTTGTTTCCTTGTTTCCTTGTTTTTTTCCAAACATAATGTTAACATATGGAAGATATCCTTAAAAATACACTATTCTAATAAATTCATGTCAATAATTTTGAAAATATCATTGGTTATAAAGGGTATGATTTCAATTAACCAGCCCTTTTAACAAAAAAAAAACATGATTTCAGTTAACCTCGATAAAAGTTGCAAGTATAAAATCGATAAGTACCAAATGGTATTCAATGTATAATCACATCTTCTTTTTTTCGTTTGATTTTCTTTCGTCATTATTTTTTTCTTTTTAAACATGAAATCATCCAAAAATCGAAGCTTAAATATTTGGTTCTTTTTATAGAACAATTAAAGATTCCAAATTTTCTTGATTAAAGACATTAATCACCACTAACAAATACAATCTTCTCGACTAAACATGTACGGTCAAACCTTACTCACGTGGCACTTAAGTCATATGCTTTCCAAAAATATACATTTACAAACATTATTATATACTCTCTCCTTTATCTTTGCCTCTTTCGAGCTCCAACCTGTCTGAATTCCATATCACGATTAGGTGCTTTAACCACATGGTTAGCAACTAAACAACTCTTGTCATTAACATGTTAATCTATATTATACATGATTTCCATAAATAGATTGAGAGCACGTGTCTCCATACATGTGTTTACAAGTAAAGTATCATGTTGTAGGTAATGATTCTAACAAGGACCAGCTAAAAGAAGGTGGATTTCTAGATAGGTCTTAAGTTATGGTCCTAGATCTGTTTAGCCAGTGAATTAATCTTAATTTTTAAAAATTTTAAATGTTAATACTATTATTAAGATATTCTTTCTATTTTCGTTCATGCAGCTTTTAAGGCGATCTTGTATGACTTCGTGGTGGTCCAAGGTATACATGGCACAACATAAGCATTGTCTCAATAGATTAATAATCTCTAATAATTAGTTAGCTCATTAATTTGATTGGTTCACATATTATATTGTATATAACCTTTTTAATTCCTTCAAGAAACAACCACTAAGATCTATATCAGCTATAAAATAAATACTCAAGAACCTATTAACTCGACTCGCCATTAATTACTAAATGCAGTAGTGTTAGGACCAATCACTCGAATTTGACTTCTGACAATATGAAATAGGAATATATATTTTTCATTTACAACGACCGAAACTTTTTTTCTTTTACCAATTGATTTATCATTTTTCATGTATACCTACTTGTGTTGTGTATCGAGAGTCTACATGGCTATAGGACTGAGGACTTTTATAATGTTTTAGGCTTATTTGAATCCGATATGGTTTAAGAGTTCTAGGTCAAATAGTTAATCACGTTACGGAATAAGTCAATAAGAAGCAAATATCATACAACTAAATAAATGGGTGAAAAACTTAATTTGACCGTAACATGAAAAAAAATGCAACTCAAGGGGAAAATAGATAAAAGAAAGAAAGATGCAACATGGGAAATGTCATTTTGCCAAAATGATTTTGGCAAACAAAAATTACGTGAGCTAGAGACATGTATAAATTACGTTTACGGGCTTTTTTTCTTTCTTGTCGACCATTTACGTATACGGGCTTTATAGGCTCGATTATTATAACTTTTTTTATGGGAAAAGGCTCAATTAATTTATTAAACTTAGGATGCATATAATAAATGAATACATTAATGGGCCACAGTTATTATAGCCCGATAAATAGTTGAGTTGCATAGTCTTTAAAACATTAATCTTCGTTGACTTTGAGAAATTAAGCAAGTATTATGTTGATTACATCAATTTATGTTAATTAATGAGTAATGACACTTTCTTATCTAAATTATTTCAGCCAGTTTATCAAACACGTTGAGTGCATAAACTAACCTAAAATCATATTTTAGATGGCCAATCAAGATTAAGATCAACAATAGATGACTAACCAATGGAATAGATTCCAAATCTAACAACATATTATCAAGAATTCATGAATTCCTCTTCAAAAGTTTAAATTTATTTGGTAACGTACCCAGCCTTGGAAACAAAACTTAAGCAAATAGATGAAGAATAAAAATAATAATTAAATAACCAAATCCTAAAAGCACATATTCAAATCGGGAAAAATGTCGTTTAATAGCCGAACTTTCAAAAAATGGCTGTTTAATACGTGAACTTCTTATATGTCCAATTTAAACATGAAGTAAACGTTGACCGGCCAATTTAAACATGAAGTATTCGTTGACCAGGCCAAAAACACACGCCGTTATCTGTCGTTAACAGATCCGATAATAACCGTTAACGATTCTGTTATTACCTAAAACGACGTCGTTTTAGGCTTAATCGAAATCCCTAAATCCCCAAATCGACGTCGTTTTCTTCGTTTTTGACGCCGGCCACGAGCTTTGTCTCCGATATTCGGTTGAACTAGAATTCCATCTCTGCCACCTGGCTCTGAAACGCTTCCGCCGGTGGAGCTTGAACTCCGTCTCCGACAACAATCTCAGATTCGCCTCGAGCTTCAACTCCAGCATCCACAACACTCTCTGCTTCGCCTCGAAAATCGGCCTTAAAGTTCTAATTTTGGGGATTTTTCAGAATTAGGGATTTGAAAATCAATTTGGGGATTTTCGGGGTTTAGATTAAGCCCAAAACGACGTCGTTTAGGCAATAACGGAATCGTTAACGAGAGTTAAACGGCTGTTGTCGGATCTGTTAACGACAGATAACGGCGTGTAGTTTTTGGCCTGGTCAACGAATACTTCATGTTTAAATTGGCCGGTCAACGTTTACTTCATGTTTAAATGGCCATATAAGAAGTTCACGTATTAAACGGCCATTTTTTGAAAGTTCGGCTATTAAACGACATTTTTCCCGATTCAAATCCTAAAAGATTGTATATTCGGTTCCCCAGCCTTACAATTTCCAAAAGCTTCAAAATAATGAAAATAGATCTATGTAAGTAAGTTGAGCATGAGATTTTATAAAGGATAGAAATCTAAACAAGTAGGTTCTTGAAAACGGGTCATCACAAAAAGGAAATACAGATCCGGGTAGGGACTGATCAGTCCTAGATGTGATCCGATTGGTCCATATATCTTTCTTCTTTGCTCGTAGCTTTTGGACCGATCGATAAAATGGATGGACCAATCGATATAGTATTCTTCGTCTTTTGCTTTTGAAAATTCACCGACCCCTTATTGTGGACTAAGCGGCCCACACTTCCAGAAGCACCAAAACATTTTATTTTCTTGCTTTAAACGTTCAAAACTTTGATCAAAAACTTATTTTTTCTCCAAATATACTTGAAACCTGAATAACTCAACAAGACACTAAAACATACCAAAAACACTTTTGACTCTTCAAACGAAGACATAAAATAGAGATAGAAAACATGGTTAGAAATCGATAAAAACAAGATACAAAATTTTCCGGCACAAATGAGAACAATATATATCAAAGATGGGGAACAGAAGTGGTATCACTTATGACTCATATATATATATTCTTCTTTTGTTCCTTTTCTAGAAAGTTAGGCGTTACAAAAGTAGGAATGGTAGTTTTGTTAGGTCTCGCCAACAAATTATTAATAACATGTCACTTGTCAATGCCCCATACGAAATCCATCCACGATTATTTTGTACCACAGAAAAGAACAATCTTTTATAAACTAATAATATATAAATTGGTCCTTTTTATATAAAAATGAATATATCAACTATAACGCTTATTATTCACCCTTCTTAATGGGCCAGTGTATATGTAATCTCTGCTTTATCCCAAAGCATGCATTGCCTGCCATTCACAAGCAATAAAACATCTTGTGAGAGAAGAACGGGTAAGAGGTCGAATATCGTAAACAAAAAACCTTTTATAACAACATTCTCTCGATTCATAATCATAACATAACCTCTAAATCATTAGATCATGGACCAGCCTCACGCTCTTGTAGTCGCTAGCCCTGGCTTGGGCCACCTTATCCCTGCCCTCGAACTCGGCAACCGTCTCTCCTCCGTCCTCAATATCCACGTCACCATTCTTGCAATCACCTCCGGCTCCTCTTCCCTGACAGAAACCGAGATGATACATGCAGCCGCGGCTAGAGGGACCTGTGAAATTATGGAAGTACCCTCGGTCGATATAGACCACCTCGTGGAGCCAGATGCGACAGTGGTCACTAAGATAGTGACGATGATGCGAGCCATGAAGTCCGCGGTTAGAGATGCCGTGAAATCAATGAAGCAAAAACCGACGGTCATGATCGTTGACTTTTTTGGTACATCGTTGTTGTCCATAACCGATGTAGGTGTGACGGCTAAGTATGTGTACATACCGTCGCACGCGTGGTTCTTGGCATTAATTGTCTACTTGCCGGTGTTGGATAAGGTAGTGGAAGGTGAGTATGTTGATATTAAGGAGCCTATGAAAATACCAGGTTGTAAACCGGTCGGACCAAAGGAGCTTTTGGACACAATGTTAGACCGGTCTGACCAACAGTACCGTGAGTGTGTACAGAGTGGGTTGGAGATACCTATGAGCGATGGCGTTTTGGTAAATACTTGGGAGGAGTTACAAGGGAAGACTCTAGCTGCGCTAAGAGAAGACATGGATTTGAACCGGGTTATGAAAGTACCGGTCTACCCTATTGGGCCTATAGTTAGGACTAATGTGCTTATTGAAAAACCAAACTGTATATTTGAGTGGCTAGACAAACAAAGGGAAAATTCAGTTGTTTATGTGTGTTTAGGGAGTGGTGGAACGTTGTCATTGGAGCAAACGATGGAACTCGCTTGGGGTTTAGAGTTAAGTGGCCAAAGTTTCCTATGGGTTCTACGCAGGCCTGTTTCTTACCTTGGTGGGAACTCAAAAGATGATGATCAAGTGAGTGCTTGTCTACCAGAAGGTTTCTTGGACCGTACACGTGGTGTAGGTCTTGTGGTCACGGAATGGGCACCGCAAGTTGAGATCTTGAGCCATGGATCGATTGGTGGGTTTTTGTCTCATTGTGGTTGGAGCTCGGTGTTGGAGAGTTTGACTAAAGGAGTTCCGATCGTTGCTTGGCCTCTTTATGCGGAGCAATGGATGAATGCCACGTTGCTGACAGAGGAGATCGGTGTAGCCATTCGTACGTCAGATTTACCGTCAAAGAAAGTGATCGGCCGGGAAGAAGTGGCGTATTTGGTGAAGAAAATTGTAGTGGAAGAGGATAAAGAAGGACGGAAGATAAAGGCTAAAGCTGAGGAGGTGAGGGTTAGCTCCGAACGAGCTTGGACTCATGGTGGGTCGTCTCATAGTTCTCTCTTCGAATGGGCAAAACGATGTCGTCTTGTGTCTTAATTCGAGAATCATATATATGAAAAGAGGGAAGCTCTCTCCATCCCTTAGTCACGTCAGCAACTGAGAAAAGGACACACGTACATTGAAATTTAGCATAAATTTAAAGCTAAAGACAAATGATAAGTTGTTTTTTTTCCCATAACTCTTTATCTCCTATAATCAATGAATTTTAAATTACTCTTTACGTTTTTTCTTTTTGCAAACCGCCGTACGTTGAATATGTTTAGACAATTAGCTTTCTATAAATAGGAATATTTTCTGAATTTGCTGGGATATATTGTTTTGAACTTTCAAAACCATAGTAAAAGAAATCCATAAAATCTAAATAGATAAGTTCATGATTAGTGAACCATATAGTTTTTGTTTTTGTTTTTTTGGGGTCAAAAGTGAACCATATAGTTATAATAGTAAATCAAATATGTTTCAAGATATGCAAACCACCAAATAAAAATATTATTGCAAAATATTAACCAAAATTTAGAGAGAACAAAAACCCGCTCTACCTACTCACCTAGTAGTTTATAATATCATGAAAATTTGCTTATAAGATCAAACTCTCTAGTATGAAGTATATATTAAAGATGGTTATATTTTGCTACGCAACAATTTGCTTAAAAATCAAACTCTCTAGTAGGAAATATCAAGGAGTGTTATATTTTGCTATGCATGCATACACGATAATATATGTAGTTTAATCAGGTTTATTATCTACACGTAAAATGTGATAATCAATTACAAATCTTCCGATTACGACATACTTTATATAAATTATCAAAAAAGAACGACATCCTTCATATAAGTATTGACAAGCGAAATATAAAATAAAAAAAAATTTGTAAGACTTTAATCTTATGCCATACATAAATGACAGACACATTGCTGTTGATATAAGTAATGATGATCCAAGAGCGGGGCTATGTGCCTCCAGAAATCCTGTGGCTTAAGGCGCATGGGCTTGTTATTTTCCTGGCATTGAAAACGATGTATGTGTTTGATCATTACATCCCCCACTACATCGATCTCTTTATTGGAAAGTCCACGAGCAGTGCCATTTATATGGGCCAGTGTATAACTTAACCCAAATCATGCAGCACTATGATATGTGGCCCGCATACTCAAGTAGTGTGTAAATTCAAAATGTTAGAATGATGTTCGAAACAAATCGGACTAAAATCAATGGTTAATAATCTAATAAACACTAGTAGTGAATGTTTTCTCTGTGTCATATATTAAATTCCACGATTTATAGATTTCGATTCTCATATTTTTTCTTCTTGATCACTTTAGTAACCACTTTTCATGGCAAGAAAATTAGGAAAATCCACAAATTTGGATACTATTATATTTTTGTTGTTGTTGGAATGTGGACATTATTATTCAACAGAAGAGATTATTTACAAGGACTGAAACCAGTTTGAAGAGTAGAAATGTGGAGAAAACAAAGATTCTAACTTAATGAGAAGTGGCACCAACAACTGGGATTTTGGAAGTCGCGGATCGGGAGGGAGGTGTTAGATTCCAGTATGTTAGGTTGCTTGGTTCGGGACTTAACATTGGTAGAACCGGTTGTCGGTTTTAAGTGTAGTCCAGGAGGTTTGTAGTGGGTTAGGTGGCTTATCGGATTCGAACTGGAGTTGGGATTCAAACACTTCCGGCGAGGGTTCTGATTTGGTGTAGCTGCCTCAAAACCGTGGGTCTCGTGTTTGCTGGAATTCCTACCTTTTCTCTGCCTCCGTCCATCAGCAGGATCCGATCTTCCCTCCGGTGACGCAAAAGACATTTTCTAATTTCCCATTTTGTAACTGTTCTTCATGTTGTAAACTCAAGGCTTTGGCCCAATTCTTGTTGGGAAGCCCAATTATTAATATATATTTCTTTAAAAAAAAAAAAAAAAAAAAAAAAAAAAAAAAAAGAAAGAAAGAAGTGGCACCAACCACTTCGTGAATTTGGTCATTTGGATATTAATTTGGTTTTGGTTCAGGATTTTTCGGGTGAGAAAACCAATCTCCACATAAAAACATATATGAGAAATCTTTAAATATTTTGTGTATATAACAAAAAAAAAAAAAAAACTTCTTGTTTCGTGTGCTGCGGTAATCAACAGGAGAAGTGTGTCCGATGTATGGAAAGACATGTGTACGTGCATGCAATGGAGTTATCTGCGAACATCGCGACGTGTAGATTCGTCTTTTGTTCTTGTCTACAAATTTAGGCGTCAGTACAAAAGTAGGAATGTCATGTTAGGTCTCATTAGTCATTAACATAAAGTTTGGTCTATACCGTATAATAATAAATATCACTTGTTAATAGCCTATACCGAAATCCAATCCACGATTAATATGCTACACAAAAACCAACAACTAAAAAGAAAATGTGTTTATCAAATCTAACACTTTTCTGAATACTCATCCTAAAACTAATACTCCCTCTGTTTTTAAAAAGTTGTCGTTTTAACTGTATTTAGACAAATTAAGAAAAGGTATACAATGACTATATTAACCTCATAAAAATGACAAGTAATTATTTACAAATAATTTGTGTTTAATTAAATGAGGGTAATTTGGGTAGTTATTGGCATAAGTTACATTATTACCTTAAAACGACAACTAATTTAAAACAAAAAAAATGCTATAAAACGACAACTATTCGAAAACGGAGGGAGTAATAAATACTCCATATATTATATGGCCAGTGTATAACCGTAAACCGTATATATATATATATTCTGGTCTTATCTCAATTCATGCAGTGCCATTGACAGGTAATAGACATCTTCTGATAAAACTACAGGTAAGTGGTCGAGCATCTCACGTAAACAAAAACCTTTTGTTAGATTTTTTTTTGATTCATATAATCATTTTAACAGAACCTTCAAATAATAAGATCATGGACCAGCCTCACGCGCTTCTAGTCGCTAGCCCTGGCTTGGGTCACCTCATCCCTATCCTTGAACTCGGCAACCGTCTCTCCTCCGTCCTAAACATCCACGTCACCATACTCGCCGTCACCTCCGGCTCCTCTTCACCGACAGAAACCGAAGCCATACGTGCAGCCGCTGCTAGAACTGCCTGTGAAATTAGGGAACTTCCCTCGGTGGATATAGACAACCTCGTGGAGCCAGATGCAACGGTGGCCACTAAGATCGTGGTAAAGATGCGAGCCATGAAGTCCAGAGTTCGTGACGCCGTGGAATCAATGAAGCGAAAACCAACGGTCATGATCGTTGACTTTTTTGGTACGGGGTTGATGTCCGTAGCCGATGACGTAGGCTTGACGGCTAAGTACGTGTACGACCCCTCGCATGCGTGGTTCTTGGCAGTCATGGTGTACTTGCCGGTGTTAGATACGGTAGTGGAAGGTGAGTATGTTGATATTAAGGAGCCTTTAAAAATACCGGGTTGTAAACCGGTCGGACGAAAGGAGCTGATGGAAACGATGTTAGACCGGTCGGACCAGCAATATAAGGAGTGTGTACGAGTTGGCTTAGAGGTACCTATGAGCGATGGTGTTTTAGTAAATACTTGGGAGGAGTTACAAGGAAACACTCTCGCTGCGTTTAGAGAGGACGGAGAGTTAAACCGGATCATGAAAGTACCGGTTTATCCTATTGGGCCTATTGTTAGGACTAGCGAGCATGTAGAAAAACTCAATAGTATATTCGAGTGGCTAGACAAACAAGGGGAACGGTCAGTGGTGTATGTGTGTTTAGGGAGCGGTGGAACGTTGACGTTTGAGCAAACAGTGGAGCTCGCTTGGGATTTAGAGTTAAGTGGTCAAAGGTTCGTTTGGGTTCTACGTAGGCCCGCTTCTTACCTCGGGGTAAGCTCAAGCGATGATGATCAGGTGATTACCAGCCTACCTGAAGGTTTCTTGGATCGCACGTGTGGTGTGGGGCTTGTGGTTACGCAATGGGCACCGCAAGTTGAGATCTTGAGCCATAGATCGATCGGTGGGTTCTTGTCACATTGCGGTTGGAGTTCGGTGTTGGAAAGTTTGACTAAAGGAGTTCCGATTGTGGCTTGGCCTCTTTATGCGGAGCAGTGGATGAATGCCACGTTACTGACTGAGGAGATCGGTGTGGCCGTTCGTACGTCGGAGTTACCATCAGAGAAAGTCATCGGACGGGAAGAAGTGGCGTCTTTGGTGAGGAAGATTGTGGCGGAAGAGGATGAAGAAGGACAGAAAATTAGGACTAAAGCTGAAGAGGTGAGGGTTAGCTCCGAACGAGCTTGGAGTCAAGGTGGGTCATCTTATAATTCTCTATTTGAATGGGCAAAACGATGTTATCTTGTATCGTGATTTGAGAATAACATCATGAACAACAATTTCTGTCTAAAATATCAACCTTTTTTATATGAATATAAAAGTGTGTTAAATTTTGCTATGCATACAAGATATGTACTTCAATCAGGTATCTTTATATATATATATAAAAATTAATAATAGAACGTTTGTTTTGTAAAAATTTGCATATCATGTCGTCTATAAATGATGGACGTACGCGTACCGCTTTATATTTATGATCCTTGTTTAGCATTCCGTATGGAATTTCGGTCCAAGACTGGCTTAAGGCGCATGGGCCTGTCATTTTTCTAGCATTCTGAGTAATTCACATGAATGTCATGGGAAAAGGGGATTTTCATATCCGTACTATCTGCACCGTGGATTTTCATACATGGACAATTTTGTAGGGTATTTTACAACCTAAACTTCAATAAAATTTGAATCTCATATCTATACTTGATACAACATGCAAAAATCGGAGTCAATCTAACGGGTGTTAGTCAACTCCGTTACGGTGCTGAGTCATCGTACACGTGTACGCTGACGTGTATCAAAACGACGTCGTTTTCATACCCGTACTGTCTGCGTCGTGGATTTTCATACCTGAACAATTTTGTAGAGTATTTTACAACCTAAACTTCAATAAAATTTGAATCTCATACCCTATACTTGATACAACGTGCAAAAATAGGAGTCAATCTAATGGGTGTTAGTCAACTCCGTTACGGTGAGTATCGAAACGACGTCGTTTTGATATGTGTTCTCAAAGTTTTAAATTTTTTTGCAAAACTGGGGATTGAGTCCGATTTTTGCACGTTGTATTAAGTATAGGGTATGAGATTCAAATTTTATTGAAGTTTAGGTTGTAAAATACTCTACAAAATTGTCCAGGTATGAAAATCCACGGCGCAAACAGTACGGGTATGAAAACGACGTCGTTTTGATACACGTCAGCGTACACGTGTACGATGACTCAGCACCGTAACAGAGTTGACTTACACCCGTTAGATTGACTCCGAGAATGTCATTCTCCAAGTCACTAGAATAGAACAGTCTTGAAAATAGAAGATTTTAGTACGAGACCTAGCTAGCCGAGACAAGTGGTCAGCTTTAAAGTTTGAAATACATGGAATAAGCACATATTTTTGTTGACAAGGCATCATCAAGCAGCCGAAATGTCACCTCCAACTTACAGATATAAAACACTTTTAGTATACTCCAAATTTGATATTCTCTCCATTTTAAATTAGTTATCGTTTTAAGAACTAAATTTTGTTTAAAATTAGTTGTCGTTTTAGAAATTAAATTATGTTTTTAATTATTTGTCGTTTTATGTTTCAATGCAAAATTTTGACAGATTTTCTAATTTTATCTTTATTGTTTTAGCTGATTAATTGATTATATTAAACAAAACAACACATTAATTAAGGATAAAACAGAAAATTTAAATATTTTATTAATTTGTGTGAAAAATCTTAAACGACAACTAATTTTAAACGGAGGGAGTATAATTTAATAAATAATATGACTTATATAAAGGTTAGCCTACTATACTTTAATTTTATTTATAAATTATTAAGAAACTAGTATGATGTTATTGTTGGGTACAAACCAACGTTCCACATCGAAAGTTTTAAAAAGAAGTTAAGCCAAGTCCAACTCCAACTAATATGAGGTCTTTTGGGAAGGAGACCAATAACAAATCCGTGCGGGCTTGAGCATATATGTCCAAAGCGGATAATATCATACTAATGGGAGTTGGATTGAGCTTAGAAAACCCAGTAAATGGTATCAGAACCTAGGTCAGAAAAAGTGGACCTAGGGGTGTGGGCTAAAATTTGGTGTGGGAGAAGCCTTTAAATGTGACACGATAAGAAGGTGCCTCAAAAACTTCCCAAACAAAAAAGTACCGAGTTAGGGGCCAACGTTTCGCTGAAGAGGAGGCCTAATGTTCGTGGTTATTGGTTTGAAGGGGAGATTGTTGTGTACAAACCATCGTCCCACATCAGAAGTTTAGAAAAAAAGTTTCTAATATATAAGTAAAATCTAACTCCAATTAGTACGAGGCATTTTGGGAAAGAGCCAAATAACAAATCCGTACGAGATTCAGCATATAGGCTCAAAGCGGACAATATCATATTAATGGGAGTTGGATTTGGCTTAAAAAGCCCAATAGTTATCACCTAATTATTGGGTATAAATGTGGTACTTTATCGAATTCAATATTTATGTATGAGTTTATTTTATATTCATGGTGGGAATCAAAATTTTGAAATTAATTTAAGCTATGTTTTACTTATTAATGAAATATTAATCTTTGGAAAAGTAATTTAAGATTGTTAATTATATTTATCAACTTAATTGCCTAATTAACAATGTATAATTAATTTGGAAAAATGGTAATACATAATTAATGATTCTGATATTGTAATAAATTTTGTAATAACTATATTGCTAGTTTATTTTACAATTTAAGAGTCTTGTTTTTTTTACCAAGATTAATAAGAAAGTAAACTTATACATATATTTGATGAATAAATCCTCCACTATATCTCCTCCTTAATTAAAATGTACACACATAGATACAACCAATCGTTTTTGTCAAAGATTAAACACTACTCCCTCCGTTTCGTTTTAGTTGTCGTTTAAGGTTTTCGCACACAAATTAAGAAAATCATTAAATTTTTTGTTTTACCATTTATTAATATATTTTATAATTTTTTCATTGGTCAAAACATTAAAACATTAATGACAAAACATGAATTTTCACCAAATATTTGCATTGAAAACCTAAAACGACAACTATTATGAAACAAAATTTTAATCCTAAAACGACAACTAAACTGAAACGGAGGGAGTATATCACAATCAAAATAAAAGTGAATAAATATAGTGATAGAGAATAGATTTCCATTTTAAAAATATAAACAAAATTCTAGAAACATGAAAATTGCCTAGATACACAAACGTGGGCCACCACAAAAGATAAGATTTCAAATAAGACAACCAAGGGAAATTATAACGTTTCAGAAAATTTAATGTTATTAGTTAGCTAATTGACATCTTATATACTAGTTAAAAAGACCAGTAATTGTCCATTAAAAGTTGTGAAAGAGAGGGGTTATAAATTTTGGCATTGGTAGCTGTGAAGTATCCGAAACTGTCAAGAGTCGACCGCTCGGGAATTGTCACCGGTCGTCTTCTTCATACTTCAACCACCATGAACATCAAGTTAGTAAATTTTATTTTTTTCCTAATGAAATCTTCTTCGTAATATTTGTATCCGAATCTTGTTACCCGAATCAAGTTTTACTCGCTTTCTTAGAGTTAAGGCCAATATTTGTATATTTTCCTTTCTGTTGATAATAAATTCAATTTAAACTCAAAATGTGAATATTTGTACAGAATCTAAGACTATTGGGCTAAGGTCTTGCAGGACATATTTTAGTTTTTCTATTCTCATACTTTGAAATAAAATCAAATTAAGAATTAGTAAGCCAAATGTTTCTCTGTTTTGAAGATCCATTTCTAATGATTTTCTTTAAAATTTGTACTAGTAATTTTGTGTGTATGTGTTTCACTGAATGTTCATATATAGAATGGGTAAGCTTTATGGAATCTCCATTTCTCTCATCCTCATCAACTTAGCCACAATGATGCAACGAGCAGACGAAAAACTCATTCCTTCGGTTGCCAAAGAAGTGAAAGAAACGTTCAATGCAACCCTCTCTGATATTGGATTCCTCACATTTATAAGAAATATTGTTCAAGGACTTGCCTCTCCTTTAGCCGGTTTATTTGTCATCAGTTATGACCGCCCAACAGTTTTCGCAATCGGTAGTTTCTGTTGGGTCTTATCAACTTTTGCAGTTGGAGCTAGCCACTACTTCATTCAGGTTTTGAGATCATATATATTGCTTTCAAGTTTTTTCTATTACAACTTGAGCTCTTTGGTACATACAAGATTATTTCTTCAACTAAAGTAAAATCATAGAGTAGAATTGAACTTTGTTTTTTTTTTTTTTTTTTTTTTAGTTATGAGAATTTCAAGTATATTGGGATTTGATCTTGTTTTCTTGGACCAGGTTACCCTTGGTGTGGCACTTAATGGGTTTGGACATGCGATTGTTTACCCAGTGCTTCAGTCGATAATTGCGGATAGCTTTAGTGATAGTTCGAGAGGATTTGGTTTTGGTTTATGGGGTCTCATTGGTACGGTTGGAGGTATAGGGGGAACCGTCGTGCCAACAGTCATGGCTGGTCATGATTTCTTGGGAACCCCAGGATGGCGATGCGCCTTTATATTGATGGCAACGATGAGTGCGATCATCGGGGTTCTTGTTTTTTTCTTTGTCACTGACCCGCGGAAAAAGAAAAGTAGCAGCTCCATTTCTCATGATCATGAACGGTAATATAAAGCTCTATATTCTTGATAGCATCAAAGTGACAAAAGTTTTTTTATTGTCTTTGGTTTTGAATTAGTCATGCGGTTTTGTAGAGATGAACTAATGGTTAATAAAGCAAAGAACTATGATGCTGCAACAATTATGAGCTCGGTTTGGATGGAATCGTGGGTGGCCATAAAAGATGTAACCAAATTACGAACATTTCAGGTCATAGTAGTGCAAGGAATCGTGGGTTCGGTGCCATGGACTGCAATGGTTTTCTTCACAATGTGGTTCGAACTCATTGGTATGCACATTCATTCTCATATTTTGCCCTTAAGAGAACGGACCCATAACCCAACCTAACATATTATTCTATCCAAAGATAACGTCTAACCAAACCAAATCTTTGTTACTACTAATTTAGGCATAGGAGAGATAATCTTTTATCAAATTTATCTAATAAAAAAATGTCATATTTAGAAAAGGAAATTTCAATAATTTTAGCTAAAAGAGATGAGAACACCAAAAACTATTATATGTAAAACCTTGCTTTTAGTAATTTAAAACAACAAAAACATGCTCTTAGTTCTCAAAACGTAATATTATCTTACTTTTCAGGCTTTGATCACAATAAGACGGCAGCTCTAAACGGCGTATTCACCACTGGACATGCAATAGGATATTTAGTCGGAGGAATAATCGCAGACAAAATGTCTCGTATATTCCCAAACTCAGGCAGAATAATGTGTGCACAATTCAGCGTTTTCATGGGCGCTATATTCTCCATTATTCTTCTAAGAATGATCCCGCAGTCCATTGATAGTTACTACATCTTCTTGGTCACTCTCTTTCTAATGGGTCTAACCATAACTTGGTGTGGACCAGCCATTAACTTTCCTATCTTAGCTGAGATTGTTCCTCCTAAGCATCGAACCATGATGTATGCCTTTGATCGTGCACTCGAAGGATCTTTGTCGTCATTTGGTGCTCCTTTGGTTGGGATTATGTCGGAGAAAATGTTCGGATTTGACTCAAATGGAACTGACTTTATTAAAGATTCTGGTCGTGCAGCCGAGGCGTTGTCCAAGGGGATCTTCTCAATGATGGCTGTCCCGTTTGGATTGTGTTGTCTTTGTTACACACCATTATATTTTCTTTTTCAGAAAGATCGAAAAATCGATAGAACTCCGAGTTCAAGGGAAATAGAGATGATATGAGAATTATCTTGTTCGCAATAATTGAAGCTGTCTCGGCCAGTAATTTTTTTTAACTATGTACCAGTGAAACAATCAGGTTTTCATGTTTATTTTATAAGAAAGTATTACATTATCAAATGTTTATGTTGTTTACCTATCTATATTTTCATTTAAATTTTTTTACATAGCAATAAATCATCAACCAAAAGGATGTTTCAAATTTACCAAATAAAATCGTGCTCGATTTTATTTAGTTAAAGAGCACGATTTTTTTTTTTTGTCATCATTATCAATAAAAAAAAAAAAAAAAAAAAAAAAAAAAAATCGTGCTCTTTAACTAAAAATAAAATATAATTGTGATCACAAGGTAAAATAACCATTAACCAAGTTCGAGTTTGGTTGATCAGATTATAAGTTTTACTATTTTCTAGAAACAAAAAGATTTCAATATTTCAAATTATTTACCATTAAAATCGAAATTAAAACACTGTCACATACTCACATACATGTGCAGTATGTATAATATTAGGTGTGCTCTCCTTAGAATCTCATTATATATAAAAGGATGCATGTTTGAGAGAAAGATACCAAATTCTATGTAAGCAGAATTAATGTAATTAAAATAATTTAATGTAGCAGAAAAGATTGATATAATGGATAAATATCACAATTGAGTAAGAGTATATTATTTGGTTTAGTTTTACCTATGCCATAGTAGTAACTATATTACAAAAAAAAAACAGTCGAAAAATAAGGGAAATTGTTAATAATGCCACTTTTTCAATGCCACTTTTCAAAAATACCCCTTTTTTAAAACCTTATAAAAAATGCTCTTAAAAATATAAGATTTACCCAAATATGTATGTAATATTATTAAAACATACACAAACTACATTTCTATGTATCTAAAATCTTATAAATACTTTATAAATACCATATAAATGCATTTTAAATACCTTTAAAAACCTTTAAAATATCTTGTAAAACCTTTGAAAAACCTTAAAAATCCTTAAAAATAACTTGTAAAACCTTTAAAAACACCTTATAAAACCTTATAAATACTTGGATCGAGTCTTCAAGTAGTAGTTACAATCCATAAGTACCTTATAAACCTAATAAAACTTTATAAAAATTTCAGATTTAAAAAGGGGCATTTTTGAAAATGGACATCTAAAAGGGGCATTTTTGAAAAGGGGCATGAGAAAAGGGGTATTTTTGCTAATCCCCCGAAAAATAATTCAAATTATCAAAAAAAAAAAAACTATATTGCATTTATATTTACAAAGCGCCGGAAAAATACAGTCTCAAAGTTACTTTGTGAAAGGACTGTTCTATATGAATGAGGTATAAAGTCAAAAGGTTAGATATACACTAAACTTTTCACACGCTTTAAAAAGTTTAAAACAACACCATAAGTTATTTACCCTTTAATCAATTGAATAATTTCAAGTTTAATCATAAAAAGTTATTTTTTAGAAGTAAACTTTTTGTTAAAGTTTATAATCTTCTTCTATATTTATACAGATTTACCACTATATTATTTTAAAATTACTAAAAATATATTTAGATACACATTTTAACTAATTAAACATTTGAACTTTTTGGTAGTAAAAGTCTTACTAAATCACGGAATTTGTGAACTTCCAATGAAAATCCAACATCAGTACTTTTACTGTTTTCGTACATGTGTATTATGCGAATCATAATCTAATATAGAAATAGTACAATCTAATAAAATCTAGAAACATGACTTTTTTAGAAAACAAAAACAAAACCATTAATAAATTAAGATTTTTAATGTGCCAGCTGTCTCAAAATTCAAATTTTAGTAGATCTTCTTCCTCTATTTTTTTATATTTTTATCTAATTGTGATTATTATTCGGAACCTAAATATAAGTAGCAAACAAAATAAATAAATGATCCTATTTCTTTTTTCCAATGTATATTTTGTTAAGTACTATAAATCACATAAACTCTCCCTTCTATTTTGTTTAATAGTTACTTAAAAAAAATATTGTTTTCTTCATTTCTCTTCACCAGTCTTCTTCGTACTAACACCATGAAAATAAAGTAAGCAAGTTTCACTTTTTCTTAGTGAAAAATCCTCTTCATTCTCGTCTTTGTCTTTGAATTTTTTCGATTATTTTTTTTTTAACTCACTTTGATAGTTTAAGGCCACTATTTGTATCCTTACCTTTCTATTGATTTTTTTTTTGTCAATTTAGACTCTATATTTCAATTTTAATCCTCCCATGAAATAAATTCATTTAAAAACTAAATTGATAAACAATAAATTTCTCATTTCTTCACATCTTTCTTACAAATTCTAACATTAACATGTGCGTTCATAGATCAGGGACCCTTTATGGAATCTCTATTTCTCTCATTATCATCAACCTAGCGACGATGATGCAACGAGCAGATGAAAAACTCATTCCTTCAACTGCGAAAGAATTGAAAGAAGCGTTCCATGCAAAGCTCTCTGATATTGGACTCTTATCGTTTATAAGAAACATTGTTCAAGGGCTTGCCTCGCCTTTAGCCGGTTTATTTGCCGTCAGTTATGATCGTCCCACAGTTTTCGCATTCGGAAGTTTCTTTTGGGTCTCATCAACTGTTGCAACTGGAGTCAGCCGCTACTTCATCCAGGTTTTATTCCATTTACGTGTAGTGTGGAGATTGTATATTAATTTCAGCTAATTACCCCAAAATAATATTTAACTTTAAGTTTTCTTCTATGCCATAAACTTTTGCACCAAAGTTCATACTAATCTTCGAAACGTTTCCAGTCATGCTTAGATTCGTAAAATCTCCCAAAAAAGAAAACAAAATATATATGTATGGTAATTTTCTTTTACAAAGATCACAAAAAATAACGAAAAATTGAATTTGTCAAATAAAAAATTAAATGCAAGTTCAGACAAAAGTATCTGTCTTTAACTATAATAAAATCACAGAAACGAGAATTGAATTATTGTTTTCTGAGACCTTTTAGGTTCTAGTAAAAGTGTATTTTTAATATATACTCCCTCCGTTTCAGTTTAGTTGTCGTTTTAGGATTAAAATTTTGTTTCATAATAGTTGTCGTTTTAGGTTTTCAATGCAAATGTTTGGTGAAAATTTATGTTTTGTCTTTAATGTTTTAATGTTTAAAAAAAAAAAAAAAAAAAAAAAAAAAAAAAAAAAAAAAAAATGTTTTAATGTTTTGACCAATGAAAAAATTATAAAATATATTAATAAAGGGTAAAACAGAAAATTTAATGATTTTCTTAATTTGTGTGCGAAAACCTTAAACGACAACTAAAACGAAACGGAGGGAGTATAACTATAACTTAGTCATTATTTGTAACGAAACATTAATTGAACAGAAACACTTTTAAGATATAAACCCTATAATAAATGACATTTGTTTTTTTTTTTTGTCAACAACTTTATTAGATTAGCTTATACAAGCCAATTTTGGGGGATATTGTTTACATAGGTATATTACGTAATTAGATGCGGTTGGGTACGAACATTTCGTGCCAAATTACGTTCTTCTGCGGAAATTAACTAGAACCCATTCATATTAAATTTTGTAATGTCATTCTAACCGGACACTGAACCAAATTAAACAATATATGTATCATAACATCAATGAATATGCTATAAAGACGGATATTCATGTAATATGCAGAAACTTTGACTATTATTATATTATCATATGCAGACACTTTGACTATTTTGCATGTAATATGCAGAAACTTTAACTATATTTTGGGCTAATTCATACCTTAAAATTAGCCAAAATTTCTGCAGATTAAATCATAAAAGCCAAAATTTATGTAACGTATGAATTTATGAAGTCAATGAAGTATCTGCATATTATTAATTCTTTCATACGTTACGTTGTGTCCACATATTTTATTAGTATCAGATATTAAATGGCTTTTCTATTATTATAAAAAGAAAAAAAAAAAGAAAAGAAAAACAAAGTGACTTTTATAACTATGATACAAATAATTTGGATTTTTTTAAAAAAGGGTAATTTCTAGGTCATATCTAAGATATAAAATTTCATATTTTATGTCATAGTTAAAAAGAAAATACAAAGGTCCTTTTGACTGAAAATATATTTTATTTTTCGTCTGGTTTAACATTTTCATATTTTTATGAAAATCTGTCAAAGGAAAATCAAATTACTGTATATTGGTCCACTTTTATAGTTGGGCTCAAACCGATCGCACCATAAGTGCCGACCCTGGTTACTTGTACTCTCAAACACAACCCTGAAAACATGTAGAATGGCTAAATGGTTATGTAATATATGTATGTGTGTTTGATTGGGATTTGATCCTCAAAACATGTATAATGTATATATATTTGATTGAGATTTGATCTTTCATTCTTTGGACTAGGTTACCCTTGGTGTAGCATTCAATGGGGTTGGACATGCAATTGTTTATCCAGTGCTTCAGTCGATAATTGCGGATAGCTTTAAGGAGAGTTCGAGAGGTTTTGGTTTTGGTTTATGGAATCTCATTGGTACGGTTGGAGGTATAGGAGGAACCGTTGTGCCAACAGTCATGGCTGGTCATAATTTCTTTGGAATATCAGGATGGCGATGCGCCTTTATATTGAGTGCCACGCTGAGTGCGATGGTCGGGATTCTCGTTTTCTTCTTTGTCACTGACCCGAGGGAAATGAAGACTAGCAGCGTCATTGCTCATCACGAAGATCAACATGAACGGTAATATAATTCTCTACATTCTTGATTATATATAGCACCAGCATGACAATAAAGCGTTTTTGCTTATTGTCTAGTTTTGAATTAGTAATGTGGTTTTGTAGAGATGAAAACAATGTTGCTACAACGATGGAGACTCCGAGCTCTTCGGTTTGGAAGGAATCATGGGTGGCCATAAAAGATGTAACCAAACTACGAACATTTCAGATCATCGTATTGCAAGGAATCGTCGGTTCGGTCCCCTGGAATGCAATGGTTTTCTGGACAATGTGGTTCGAACTCATTGGTATGCATCCTTTCTCTTATTTTCACTTGAGAGAACCCATCCAAAACCCAAACCAAACATATATTCTATCTTACATGAATGGTTCATTAAATCCTTAGCCTCTAAACATCAAACAAAACCAAATCTTTAAGTTTCAAAATATACGACCAAGTGTATACGACCAAGTGTTCATTATATTCCTATGTTTTCACCATTCTTAGAAAACATATATATATGCTCTTAGCTTAAACAAATAAACCAAAAAAATCTCTGAATTCTCAAAGTTCTTTTTTCCAGGTTTTGATCATAATCAGGCGGCTCTCCTAAACGGAATATTTGCCACCGGACAAGCTATAGGATCTTTGGTTGGGGGAATAATTGCAGACAAAATGTCTCGAGTGTTTCCGAACTCAGGCAGATTGATTTGCGCACAATTCAGCGTTTTCATGGGAGCTATATTCTCCATTATTCTTCTAAGGATGATCCCACAGTCCGTTAACAGTTACTACATCTTCTTGGTCACTCTCTTTCTAATGGGACTAACCATAACTTGGTGTGGACCAGCCATTAACTCTCCAATCTTAGCTGAGATTGTTCCTGCTAAGCATCGAACCATGGTCTATGCATTTGATCGTGCACTCGAAGTTTCTTTTTCGTCATTTGGTGCGCCTCTGGTTGGCATTATGTCGGAAAAACTTTTTGGGTTTGACGCAAAAGGAATTGATAATGTTAAAGACTCTGGTCGTGAGGCTGAGGCGTTGGGGAAAGGGATCATGTGGATGATGGCTCTCCCGTTTGGACTGTGTTGTCTTTGTTACACACCGTTACATTTCCTTTTCCGGAAAGATCGAAAAATCGATAGAACTACGAGTTCAACGGAAGTAGAGATGGTGTGAGAGCTAATGTTATACTCATCATATTTGTTATTGTTTTAGTAGTTTTGATGTTTGTTATATATTATTTGAGATAAAATTTTATCTATATGATCAAATCCTTTATCCTAATAAAAAGTAAAAACGCAAAAACTTATGACACAAGAAAATTATATACAAAAATACTAAAACTTTTTCAAAGAATTTCCAACGTGCTTCCACATGTGACATAAGCTAAGACTCGTTGTTAAGCTACCCAATTGTATAAATCTACGTTGATGATTGTTACACCGTATTATTATTTGGTTATATAATCTGGTAGTCAATTGACAAAGAATTGTGCGGTAGATGAGTTGAATGAATATTTAAAACAATTCAGAAAATTCCTAAAATCTCTTGGTCCCAATGTACAAGAGTAAACAAGAGAAGTTTCTTTAGAAGGAGAAAATGGCTAAGAAACCGAACCAGAGTCAAACTACATGCAGCGAGGAAATGAGGTTTCGCCAACATAGCCACCCATCATTGCCCTTTTGACATTATTCTCGAACAGCTTCGGGTTATCCCTTAACACCGCTGCTGCGTCATGGTTCAGAGGATCCTCGTAATTGGGTTCCTATGTGAGAAACAAACAAACAAAAAACTTCAGACTAGAAGGCCCAAGAAAATAACATCAATGGAGTTTCATCAGTCAGGGAGAATTTGTTACCGTGAAGAGATGGAAAAGACCGTAGATAACTGTGTTTATGTTGAGAACCGGTTTCCAGTCTTCACGCAAGATGTTCAGACAGACGTTTCCTTCTAGATCGATATTAGGATGATACACCTACAGCATTGACATTCTTTAGCATCTTGTATAAACATATCAGAAAGATAAACGTTTCAGAGTCTGGGTAAAGCCTAACCTTGGTCTTGCATTTCACTTTGGGAGCTTCGTGGGGATACACATTAGAGACTTGGAATGAGAACACAAATTTACCATTCCTGTTTTTGATAAAACAAGAACGAATGAGTGTGTTTTGAGCAAATTCAGTAACCCAAAGACAAAAGAACAGATGGAAATTTTGTACACTTACATGTAATATCCTTCATCAGGTTTAATGGTTACTTCAAAGTTCATCAAGTCATTCTTTCCGTTCGGAAAGGATATCTTACAAGACTTTGGCAAGTTCAGCTCCGATATATCTATGCACAAATAAACAGAGATGATTATCAGTTACACCTACTAGAAGACAACATAAAACCCTATAAATACTTATAGTGCCAACTCTCAAAGAACCTAAAATCTAAAGAGATTTTACAGTTTCTTCAACATCAGAAACTGAATAAGATCAACAACAAAAACAAAACAGTGAGAAGAAAGATCGAAACACACCGGAGAGATTATCAATTACACCAACAAGAAGACAACATAAAACCACTAAAATGCTTATAGTTCTAACACATAAAGAACCAAATTCAACAGAGGTCTTTTACATACTGAAAAATATCAAAAGCAAAGAGATAATTATCAGTTAGACCAACTAGAAGAAACATAAAACCCTAAAATGTCCAAGTTCTAAGTTCTAACACTTAAAGAACCGAAAATCTACAGAGATTTTACTGTTTGTTCAACATCAGACACTGAATAAGATAACAAAACTGAGAGAAGCAGAGAAAGAGAACCTTTGTGAAGACGAAGTTCACCAGCAGATTGCTTCTTGACAGTAGAAGCTCCTCTTCTGTTAGTATTTTGAGATTCTTCCCTTTGCTTCTCTTTCACTTTGAATAACCCAATCATGATTCTTCTACCTCACACAAAACCAACAACGAACAATTATTCACACATTGAGATATCAATTTCACGGTTCAACAGAACAAATCCGAAGCAGAACAATTACTCTATTTCTCGGAAATTTCATGAATTACACAAGTTTTATTCATCAGAACAGATTCGAAGCAAGAACAATCACTCAAAAACCCTAACGAAATCGAAACTATTAACAAATCCCTAAAACCAATCACGAATCTTCCGATAACAAGAGACGATCGGAGATTCTACATAACCAGATCATCAAAATCGGAAGGAGCAAACGAAAACCCTAAGATACCAAAATCAAAGGAAGAAGATTTCAAAAGCTTACGAGTTTCAAATTGTTGAGAAAACGAAGATCGAAACAACAACGACGAGCGAATCTCTTTGGTTTCGACGAAGAGAGAACGTAGCTTTCTTTCTCTCTACGCTGATTCTGTAAACTCAGAAACCTTTCTGTTGGGAAACTATATAGGAATCATTCTATTGGGCCTAACGAAACTACATGGGCCCTAATGACCTACGCCGCGTCCTCTATGTATTACATTTTCGTATTATATTAAATGAATAATTGATTATTAAATACACATATATTTAATTTTGTATGTATATATAATAAATATTATATAAATTTTTAATTTAATATATGATAGATAAATATATATCATATATAAGAATATGTGAAAACGTGTCAACTATATGTGAAAAATTATAATATCCTTTTTTTTTTTTTGGTCGTGTATATCCTATGTATATAGTATACTCACATAAATACTTGAAGGTTTTTTTTCTAACTCTTCTTATTAATATGACATTTGGCACTCTCTTTATGTGACGCATGTTATCATTCATTTTTATTTTTTTCTCTTTTAGTTTATTTTATTACATCGTTTTTAATCCCCAACTTTCTCTGAAACGATTTATATAATGAACTTTCTTTGACTTTTCAATTAAATGCCAAACTTTGTTTGACTTTGCAATTTTAGTCCCGACGTTAAGTCGAGTAACGGAGCCATTAAACGCCGATTAATTACCGTTAACAGCACCTCTTCAAATGAAACGATGTCGTTTCTAATATAGGTAATCGACGTCGTTTTAGTTATTTACAAAACCCCAAATTGAAAAATCCCCAAATCCAGAAATCTCTAACCCTAGAAATCGATTTCTCTCTGTTTCTTTTGATTTGCTGTAATGATGCAAGAGAAGAGGAAGGCAAATCGGAAACCCAAACGAAAAAAGCCAGATTCAACCGAAGAGAGTGGTGTTGACCCAATTCGTGACGAAGACACATGCATAGGCGTTGAACCGGAACGTGAGATTGTTAGTGGAGATGACTGTGAAGTGGTTGGCGATGAAGATTGTGATGGAATTGGATATGCTGACGAAGAGGAGAACAATGAAGCAGTTCGTGAAGAAGACGAAGTTCGTGAAGAAGAACATCAAAACCGTTTAGGTGTGGACGAAGAGCTTTGCGAAGAGAGAGATTTTGAAGCACACTTTGGAGCTGCAGCGAGAGATGAGGAAGATGTGAGTGATGCAGATAGTGGAGATGAAATCTGGGATGATGAGAGGATTCCAGATCCTTTGTCAGACAGTGATAACGATGAAGAAGATCACGTAGATGGTGTTGTTCATACAAATCCTGAAGATTCTGAAGAGCTGTTGAAGTTGGGAAAAACGTTTAGTTGCCCAGATGATTTCAAGATCGTGGTGTTAAGATATTCTCTAAAAACTCGATATGACATCAAGCTCTATAGGTCTCAGACTCTGAAACTTGGTGCGAAGTGCTCTGACACTGACGTAAATTGTCAATGGAGATGTTATTGCTCTTACGATAAGAAGAAACACAAGATGCAAATTGAAGTCTACGAGAATAAGCATATATGTGTCAGATCCGGGTACTCGAAGATGTTAAAGCGAGGTACAATAGCTTGGTTGTATTCGGAAATGCTGAGGAAGAATCCAAAAATTACCAAACATGAGATGGTTGATGAGATTTTGCGAGAGTACAATCTGGTTGTAAGTGCTGAGCAATGTTCAAAGGCGAAGACCAAAATCATGAAAGAAAGGAAAGCCACTCATGAAGACCATTTCTCACGTATTTGGGATTACCAGGCTGAGGTTTTGCGAACAAATCCGGGGACTAAGTTTGAGATTGAGACCATTCCAGGGCCAACAATAGGAAGCTTACAAAGGTTCTTTCGTCTATTTATTTGTTTTAGATCACAAAGAGATACTTGGAAACAGACTTGTAGGCCTATCATAGGTTTAGATGGAGCGTTTCTTAAGTGGGACGTCAAAGGCCATCTCTTAGCTGCAACTGGGAGAGATGGAGATAATAGGATAGTTCCTATAGCCTGGGCAGTAGTTGAAATAGAGAGTGATGATAATTGGGACTGGTTTGTTAGAATGTTATCTGCAACTTTAGATCTACAAGATGGAAGGAATGTGGCAATCATTTCAGATAAACAAAAGGTTAATATCATCAGATTTCAGAGACACTTTGTTTTGATCATTTGTTTATGAATTATCTAACCATTGTACAATTATTTTTCAGGGTTTAGTCAAAGCTGTTCACAACATTATACCAAATGCTGAACATCGTCAGTGTGCTAGGCACATTATGGATAACTGGAAAAGAAACAGTCATGACATGGAGCTACAACGTATGTTCTGGAAAATTGCAAGGAGCTACACTGAAGGAGAATTTAATGCTCATGTGGAAGCATTGCAAAAATACAACCCAGGTGCCTTTGCTTCACTCCTAAGGACGAATCCTAGGACATGGTCTAGAGCTTTCTTTAAGATAGGAAGTTGTTGCAATGATAACTTGAATAATCTAAGTGAGTCATTTAATAGAACAATTAGACAAGCTAGGAAAAAACCTTTGTTAGACATGTTAGAGGATATTAGGAGGCAGTGTATGGTGCGAAATGAGAAAAGGTGGGTTATAGCTGGGAGATTGAAGACTAGATTTACAAAGAGGGCACATGCTGAGATTGAAAAGATGATTGAAGGGTCACAGTTTTGCATAAGATCGATGGCCAGAAACAAGAAACATGAGATCACCTTGAATGATGTGTCTTATTCTGTTAATATGAATGACAATACATGTGGCTGTATGAAGTGGCAAATGACAGGGATACCGTGTGTTCATGCTGCATCTGTTATAATCGGAAAGAAACAAAAGGTTCAGGATTATGTTAGTGACTGGTACACGACACAAAGGTGGCAGCAAACATACAAAGATGGTATTGAGCCTGTCCAAGGCAAGCTGTTGTGGCCAAGGATGAATAGGTTAGGAGTTTTGCCACCACCATGGAGAAGAGGTAATCCTGGGAGACCAAGCAATTATGCTAGAAAGAAAGGAAGATATGAAGCTGCATCATCCTCAACTACAAGGTTATCTCGTTTGCACCGAGTGATGACATGTTCAAACTGCAAACAAGAAGGACACAACAAAAAAGGTTGTATGAACCCGTTTGTTGAAGAGCCACTAAAAAGACCAAGAGGTCGACCAAGAAAAGCTCAGGTAAGTCCCCACAACATTTTGAACATATTAACTATGGTATGACAAGTAATATTGACATATTCATTTTGAACCATGAACCAAGAAATGTATTGTTTGGACAAGGCTTGTCACAAGGATTTTCACAGGGAGTATCACATGGACAAACTTCTCAAGGATCACAAGTTTCTGAAAGGCAACAAGGACAAGCATCTGGAGTAGGTCAAGGTCCGCAAGGACAAGGATTACATGGCTGGAGATCATGGTTTGAGTGTTCAACTTAAGGACCTTTTGATCCTTATGATCTGTTTTTTTTTTTTTGGTACTTTGGTTAGATCATATTCCGGAATGGTTATTTTGGCTTCTCTTATAACTTGAAATGTTTCTCTTTTAGTATGAATTGTTTCTTCTTGTTTAAAGACATAAAATGGTTTCAATCAATGCTTTGTTTCAATTTATTTCAATCGTTAACAAAGCACATTACACAAAAATTTCCTTCTCACATAATTCATTCATTCATTACCAAGTTCTTACAAAGAAAGAAACAATACACTGAAACAATACTAATACTCAACCAAGAATTTCTTTTCAATTGATTTTCCAACTATTATGTAAACAACAACAATGGTAATAAAGCAAAGCCACAAAAAAAACATGCTGAAGCACACTTTCCATTTGCGAAATTCTTTTGTTCTCAACATTGCTTCTTCCTTCATTTCTTGAATCACAGCTGTTAACTCATTTGACTCGGATTTAACTTTGCTTATCTCATTCTCAATAGCTTCTAGTTTTGGCTTAGCATCTTCAACCTCTTCAAACACGGCATCCTCGACCCACTTAAACAAATGTCCCTATTTCACAACCAAATGATTAGTTTAGTGACAAAACGTTAAAAACAACAATACACACTACTTACATCTCTTTTGGTTGTCCAAGAACTCGCTTCCCTTTTGCTTATACAACGAAAGAAAGGTCTTCCTGGATTCTCTTGAGTCTTGGATGTAAAAATCGCAACACCTAATCCACACCTACACTTCAACGGCAGACCACGGTCTCCGACGACGTTCGATGTCACATAACTTGAACTCATTAGAACAATTTATGTAACTATGTAATTTATGTTACTAACTAATTTATGTAAAACTATGTTCCAAATATATTTAAGAAACATATGGGCTCACATATACATTTAGATGTTTTGTAATTTATAACAAAAAATAGAATGTCATATATGTTAAAATTCTAAATGTTTTTTATAAAACATATAAAAAATATAAGTACAAAACATATAAAAAATATAAGTACAAAATATATAATAAACATTTATATTATATATTGTTCATCATGATTTATGCTATATACTTTTTACTTGTTTCGTCAATATATATAGTTTTTATTAATTAATTTCTTTTATTAATTGTTAATCTCTTAAATATAGAGGAAAAATATGCATAAGTACCACTAATGGCATTATATGTAATTAGTCTAGTAAATATTGGACAATTATTAAGTTTGCTGAGAGTTTCTCTGGTTGCGACATGTCAGCATGACAGTCTTGTAAATCACACGTGAAGGTAAGGTTTTTTATTTAAAATGCTTCTCAATTAATATATAGGGGATTAAAATACAAAAAATATCCTATACTATTATTTGGGGAGTACACTTTATAAGATACCCTTAACTAACCTTCCCTTTTGTAAGAATTTACTTAAGAATGTCATTACAAAAATCTTCTTTTAGAACAAATTTCATTCAATTTATTAAGGATAAACAAGTAAAATACTAATTTATGTCATTTAATTAATTTAATTTAATTATAAAACGAAAATCTGTTATTTTTTTTAAATGACCAATCAAAATGAACATATAAGATTTGATATCTAACTTACCATATTAATTTGTTATTAATCATTAAACTTCACCTCTCATCTTAATATGATTATATTAATATGAAACAAATAAACCATCATATCATCTGCACAATAAAAAAAAGTAATTTTTTTTTTCTGCATATGCCAAGATTTGAATTTTTAAAAACGCATATAAATTGTTCAATCTATAAAGAAAACAATTAAACGGGTCAAAAATTCAGACTTGAGTAATATATTTCTTTTCCACAAAAATAAAGTCAACAAAAATTTCGATTTCATACATTTATTTTTTTGAAATGTATAATTTTATATACTACAATAAAAATTTAAATATTTTAATTTGCAACATTTAAAATAAGTTTTACTTGATATTTTTAGAGAATATCATCAATACTTAATAGTTCAAAAAGTTAAAAATTATAAATACTCTAATTTGATTATTTTTAAAAATATTTATAATAGGTAGAGGGTTAAATATAATATATTAAACGATGAAATAAGTTTTGATCCTTATAACTATTTGAATATTTATATTTAATTTCATATAATTTGTTTTTTGAAATTCATAATTTTATAAACTACAAAAAAATTTAAAGATTTTAATTTGGAAGATTTGAAAATAGTGTAGAACATTTAAATATGGTTTGACACCTCTAAATATTTGAAAATTTGATTCCGCGAGCAATTTTAGAATTAACGAATAATAGATTGTGCACGCAATATTTTAAAATGAAATATTGAGATTCTAAAATAAAAATATAGACTTCACGCACGGGTTGATTTTGGTATTATTATATACTAAATATATGTTTATAACATATTCGATTATGCGAATAATTGGTAAATTCCGTAATTATAAATCTTAAACAAATTCTGTAATTAGATTAGCTCAAACAAATCTATATTTCAACAACAAAAGAATTATAAATTGAAATTTTTTTTTATAAATTAATTCAAAATAATAGCTAATTTTCTTAATTAATTCAAAATAATCTATGTTTTATATGCGATTCATTTATGATATTTTAATTTTTGATCTAACTGAAATATATGCAATCCTATTTTGTGGTTGTTGAAATAAATTAACTCATTGTTCAAAAAATATTATTTTTTAAAAATAAAATTATTTTTTGTTTTCATATCTTAAAAAAAAATATCCATAATTGAGTATTATAGAAAAAATTCTATATTTATTCTAATATTGTATATAGGGACTGACAAAAAAATTAATATTTTTTCACTTACTATTATAATATATTAAAACTTTGTTCTAATATATATATTATATAAATTTTTGTAATAAATAAAATTCAACCCGTACTTTAGTACGGGTGATGATCTAGTTCGAATATATTTCAGAATCATAGGAATGATATTTCAAAAAAAAACTTTGGTCAATATTTTAATTTAAAATCTTATTCCAAATATGGAATATCCTAATTCCTAACTAATAAAATCTCCAAAATATATCAGTTACTAAATCATATTCAAATATTCATACTTATATATCAAGTGATAATATATAATCGGTTTCCAAAAAATTGTTTATATATTTCATATAACTATTTCTCCCCGCACATAGTGCGGGTAAATCATCTAGTAATTCATTATAAAGCTATATATTGAGAATTCAAATCTAATTGTCTCAATCTCTCTTCATGACTTCAACTAATCTACCAGGACTTTCATGAAGTTTTTAGTATTCAAAATTCAAAGTGAAATTCTTATGATTCTAGAGTGAATCTTATAGAATTTGAAGGGTTGACGGGTTTAAATCTCACACAAAGTTTAATTTCTAAACACAACCCCATCCAATTTGAGTTTTTGGTTATAATTACACATGTGAAAGTTTGACAATGTATTCTATACCCATTAAATTTAAATTCAAGTTGTATCTTTTATGTTGTTAATGTCTAACAATTTCCATCAATTTCGTACCTAACCGGATTAAAATATCTGAAAAATCGATATAAGCCCAAAAACTACAATTTTATGTTTCATGTCAGTCAAGTAGCTTATCTTCGTGATGAAACTCATTATCTCTATAATTACTTGTATAAATTATTTTTGTATCTTTGTCTGGGTGTTATGATTCGTTATGACTACATCAATCTATGTATTTTATTTTTCTTCATGTAAGCTTAATAGTTTTTCATTTGACTCTCTTAAAAAAAACATTTCTTAAAATAGAGCTTTGTTGTCAACACAGAAAAATGATTACGAAAAATATTTATGTTTGTTTAGTTTGATCGCGGGTTAAATCCCAGTTAGTTATTATTTGAATACTTTTGAGGTTATTTTAGTCATTTTCTCAAATTTTGTAAATTACAATTCGACCCTCTCGAAGCTTCTTCATCTTCTTCTTCTTCTCCTCAATATTCACAAAACTCAGCTTTTGATTTCTCAATTCATCTTCTTCTCAGCTTTAGGGTTTCCATTGTCTACGATCAACAAATTAACTTCAATGTCTACGAATTCCAATTGCACCGTCTACATAGGTAAGTTTCTCTTCCCACATCTCCATTGATCTCGTGTTAAAACTTCTCGAAACCAATTCGAAAATGATGATTTTGAAAAATCAGGAAACGTAGAAGAGAGAGTAAGCGATAGGGTTTTGTATGATATCATGATTCAAGCTGGTAGAGTAATCGATCTACACATTCCTCGTGATAAAGAAACTGATAAACCTAAAGGCTTTGCCTTTGCTGAGTATGAGACTGAAGAAATTGCTGATTACGCCGTTAAGCTTTTCTCCGGTCTTGTTTCGCTCTATAATCGGAATCTGAAGTTCGCTGTGAGTCTTGTTCTCTGTCTTTGATTATTGTGGTTCTTGATTTTGTTGTGGTTCTTGATTTTTGTTTGGTGGAATTTAGATATCTGGACAGGATAAGTTACAGGCGAATTCCGGTCAGAGGACGAGACCGCAGTCTTTGGCTTTCGAGCATTCGGATAGAGGTTATAATCATCATCACTCGGAGAGGTTTTCGTCGCAATTGATTTCTCCACCTTCACCATTGCCTCTGGATTACACACAAGGTTTCTCTTTTACTTGTCTCGCTTGATATATCGAATAAAGAAAAACATCGAGAAGATTTCGTTTAGAGCATTGACTTAAGCAAGCCAAAATCTTGATGGTTGTCTCAATGTATGATTAGTTTGACTTCTGAGTTATTAGAATTTAGCTGCTTCTTTACGGAATCAAGAACCTTCTTCTGCTCAATCTATTTGTCTTTCTATGTATAAAGACGTAATGTACTTTGGTTTGTTTGCTTAATCTAATGGCTATCATTAGTTTGGCTGCTGGAGTTATGAGAATTCTAGCTGCATCTTTGCCGAATCCAACATAGATTACGATATCAAGAACCGTATGAGAGTTAATGTACTTTGATTAGTAATTTTTTTTCTGTTTTTGTGCATTTTTGCAGAGCCACCTCCACCAGGAGTATCAAATGGAGCTAGTTTGGAGTATAGTAGAAGGGTTCTGGGTTCGGCACTAGATAGTATCAACCATTCAAGACCACGTCGCTACTGAACCAGTGATAAACATATGTTTTTCTGTTTGTTAGAATGATTATCGATATCAAGATAAAGAAGTAGCGAGTTTCACGATCCACGGAAAGAGAAACACAGCAAGAACTGATGTAACCTTTTTTCCCTTATAAAAGACAAATATATCTGTGTTGTTTGTGACAAAAGTACCTTAAACTGTTACATTTTGGATTATCGCCAATGAAAATACAAACCCGAGTTGGATTTAAGCAGTGCCAATGCATTAGCCGCCGCTTATTGGAGGTATGATGGCTAACTCATCTCTATGTTGAACAATGGCGGAGTCGGTTGTATATTCCTCATTCAAAGCAAGAACGACACAGCTACGTACCTCTTCCAAGCTTGGAAACTTAAGCACCAACTCATCCATACATTTCTGTGTTGTACTACCTGATGGCATCTTCAATGTTAGATCAGGCACGCCTGCTAGCTCTCGAGCTCTGGCGAATAACAACACTTTGATCTCCACTGATGAAGTGTCATCACTTTCAATCTTTGTAATAACTTCTTTGTCCATGGCCACCTGAAAACACACACAATTATTGAGTCTTAACACTTTTGAAAGAGTGAATTGAAGAAAAAAACGGTGAGGTGAAGAAGAAAAAGATCGAAAACAGAGAAGATGGATCTGTGATGTCGCGGCGGCTTGATAGAAAACACCTACGAAAACAAAAAGGCGGAGAAGAAGAACGAAGACAAGGAGAAGAAGAAGGATTGATAGAAGACACTTACGAAACAAATAGGTGGAGAAGAAGAACGAAGACAAGGAGAAGAAGGAGAAGAATGAAGAAGAATTAGAAGGTCAAAGATAAAAAAGAGATTGGAGAAGAGGAGAAAAGAAAAGGCTCGTGAGGAGGAGAGAGATTAGAAAACAAAAAGAAGATGATGTATAGATGGTTTCCTATTTTTATAAGGTGTCTCCCATAACCGAATAAACCGATCGGAATTGATGAACCGAACCGAAAAATCCGAAAACCGAAGTCAATTTAAAATTCTGCCGATCGGTTTACAACAGTAAATCGGTTTGAAACCGAAAACCGAAATCGTCGGTTTGTTCGGTTCGGTTTAAAAGGGTTATGCCGAACGCCCAGGCCTACTATTTTCACATGACAACTGTTAGCTGTTATTTTCAATATATTTATGAAATTAGCATATTTTCATAAACTTTCATTAACTCGGTTGAAAAAAATTACTAATATGTATTTCCAGTAAAAATAGACTATAATTGATATGGTAACGATCTTTTAAAAGTTTGAATTACCATTTGTTTTACAGGAATATCATTGACCGTTATTATTATATTTGTTAAAATATCTTCTAATGTTTCACAGTCAACTATATTTAAAGTTTTAACTAAATTGAGATTTTTGATGGCAAAATTCAATTATTTTTAAGTAATATATTTGGGTGATGATTATTGAGATTGTTCATAATTTTTGTATTTGTAAGAATAGTATATATCATCTATCTATCTTTAATTTTTTTTCTTATTTCTATATAGTTGGGTGTGCATTTTCTAACTTTGTTACTAAATTATGAAGCGTGAATTTTGACTATATTTTTTTGTTAAATTTATCACTATTAACATTACTTTGAAAAAAACTTACAATTCGAAATAGATTATGTGTAAGCATACTAGTAATCAAAAGTCCTTTTAAAATCTCTATCTTAATAAGATGAAATTTTTTAATTCAGGTATTGAAAAATTAAAAATGATTTTGTTTTAAAATAATTTTTTTATTTAAGGATACTCATACAACTCAATTTTTCTTGAGTACCAAGTTGTTTCTTTTATATGCAAACCCTAACCTTTTCTAGATTTCCATTTTGCAAGTAAGGGAAATGGGCCAGCTAAGACAACTATAGTCAAACCTCTATAAATTAGTAATGTTGGGACTATGCTATTTTATTAATTTATAATGATACTAATTTATCTATAAATGAGTATTTATTAATTTATAGTGTATATTAATATTTATTAATTTATAGAGAGTTTTGTTTTAATTGTTAAGACATTTATAAAAAGTATGAGTTAAAATAATTTGATCTAAATATAATGAATGCTTTGTATGTTATAAATTCTTTAGTTTTAGACTTAATCATTTAACATTTAGATAAAAAAAAAACAATTTTTTGTGACAATGAATAACAAAGATTATAGAATTGACATATACAAATGATATACATAAATTCAAATTTATAAATAGTGACATCAATTGTTATATTTGAAAAGCCTATATGACTATTGGAAAAACAAATACTTATTCAAAATTTCAAAACTTACAGAAGTTTGGCTAGTTTTATAAAACCACTAAAAATATTATATATATATAAACATATATATGTTTAACATTATTATTAATTTATGATATTATTGGGACCATATTTTTACATAGGTATTTCAAAAAAATTATTCTCTTAATATCTTATCGAATTTGGTTAATTTTTACCCTAACCCGACTCGGAACCGGTAAAATTTATTATTTATCATATTTATTAATTTATCGAGTATTAATTTATAGAGGTTTTAATTGTTTAATGTAACTTCACGATTGAATTCACATTTGGGCTTGAGGAGAATTGGTTAAGGCCCATAAATTAATACATTTTATATTTCTTTTGTGTATTTGAATATTTTTGTTTTGAAAAAGTAATTGTGTAACTAATTCTCCTAATTCTCTAGAAAGAGGCTTGGGTTAAAGGGAAACTTTTGCTTAAAACCTTTGGCTCATATCATTTGGTATCAGAGCCGAACGATTCGATGGGAGACTTAGGGATGTCGACATCACAATTCGAAGAACTTAAGAAGATGTTCGAAGAGACAGAGATTAGGTTGGGTTCGAAGTCATCAACACAGGAAACGCCCCAGGAGAAGACTTCAATAAAGATTCAACAAGCGGTGCTCGAGGAGAAGATAACTCAACAGCCGGCGTCGAAGACGGTGACCTTGAAGCCAGATCCGTTGTTGCATGTGGTTTCTATTTTAAAAACAGAGGAAACACACCACGTGAGGAGAGAGGTGGTGGAGACGGTGACTTCAAATCCACCGGCTGCGGTTGCATTAGATTTGGGAGAAGTGGATCATATGAGTCAATTTTTTCGGGTTATCGATGTTTTGTGGATAGTTCTTAGAAAAAGTGACAATTTATCAAGAACATGATGGTTTTGTTTGCTACCAAACGATCATATACCAACCATGGGAGCTTCTAGACGAAGTTTAGTGCTGTTACATACATAGGTGGAAGTACTCGTCTGAGCAATGAAGTGTAAGATTGGTGCCGACAAGCGATAAGTAGTATTACTCAGAGACTATTCAGATCTAGTGAAGATAATGTTTTTCCTTACCAAGTAGCCAGCTTTTTCCACATACTTGGAGGAAATACAAATTGATAAGGAAGAATTCAACTATTTATTTTATTTTTTTTGGTTCTTCGTAGTGCTAGTGTTAAAGTGGATAACATGGCACGAAAAAATTCATATCAAACCGCGTTATATCACATATGTAAATAATGTTCATAAGATTTGGTTTATATGAGGTAATCTTGTAAAGTTGTTGACATACAGAAAAATGCATACTCTAACCATTACATAACTTCTTGAGATTTGGTTTTCCATTTTGGGTTTGTGGCTTAGAATATTTAATAATAAGAAGAAAAGTATGGATAAGGTACCACACGTAATAAAATGGGTGATTAATGAGAAATAAGCATGAGAATATAATAATAAATATTATTATTATTAAATAAAGTAGATTTAAACAAGAAAATCAGAGACTAAAAAAAAAAGAAGAAACACAAACATTATCCAGAAACACGAAAATAAGACCTCAGTTTTATTAAAAATGAAATATAGTCGTACAACTATGACCATTAACATGTATTCACGAGTTTGTGATAAGTTTCCTTGAAAGTTTGTATTTCTAATTATTTTTTTATTTACTGTTTAATTCGCGGGAAACCGTTAGACTGGTAATGTTATATTTGTTAGATTATCATTCTATATATTGTATAGTCAACTATATTTTAAAATTCTTAACTAAATTGATGCTTCTGAAGATAAAATTAATTGGTCAAAACTTTTATTGATCTATATTTAATTTTTTTTTTTTTCTGTTTTGGGTGTGCATTTCTATAGTTTTGTTGAGGCACAAATTGTAAGATCTTCGTTATTTAGGAGCTAAACACAATATATGGAATTAACTGTTTACAAAATGAGTTATTGAAAATATTGTAACGAGCTTTAAGTTGTTTTGGGCTAGTTGGTTAATTACATACATGTACAGTATTATGTATATGCAATCTTGAAATCTCCATTTCAAACTTTTTGAAAAGTCATGATTAACTGATATACCTTTAAAAATCCACTTTTAAAGTTTTTGAGTGTTGTTTTTCGAGTTTCGGTGGTTGCTCTTAAGCAGGCTAACAATAACCCACTGCATAATAACCATTTAGCCTTATACTGTTGTACACATTATCGTGTACATGAGACTGCCAATAGCATATGTATTTGGAATGATCTTACGCATTTTATTTTCGCGTAAAAATTACTTGTTAAAAAATTTAATGGTTGAGACGATTTAATATAATATAATAAAGATTGAGAATTTGAGATGATTTCAGACAAGAGAAAAATATGAGACTAAAAGAAGAAGATGAAATAAAAACGACATAAAGAAAAATGAAATTACAACCTCAGTTTTATTATGAAAAAGAAAATTTTAGGATAATGGTCTAAAGGAACGACACTTAAACGCTTGAGCATAGTCTTCTTCTTGAGCAACTAGCAGTAGCACTTATTTTTGCTGCTTCTTCAATGGTATAATTTTCACTCTCCTTCCATTAATTATTCGCAGTTCGCTGCATAAGCTCATGTCAAACTCCTCTTCATCGTCGTCAGAAATAACTACCACCTTATCGTTAGTTCCAGGACCAAAATTATGTTTCTTGGGGACAAAGGAAGCGTCATTCCATCGAAACCGATTGTGCGGAGCCTGTCGTTTCTCCGATAGCGGCAAGGGATTCACATCCGCTGTCGGAAACTCTTTCAAGTACTCTGATCCAGGCAAATCACGCGTCTTTCGCTTTCTTTTCTCACCACCTAATCCATCACCGCTTTGGGTGCCGCCTACATTGATGCATTCAATGACATTTCCTTGGGATTCAAGGTTATCCTTGTCCGAGATAGCATAATCGTACACTCCTTAATGGTTGGATTGGACAGGAGCGACCAAGCAAAGAAGGCTTTTTCAGAAGCTTCATGTCTAAATGGGAAAGGGTTAGTAGTGTCTCCCCATTCCAAAAGATTCATTATCTTCTCCATGTTCTCAAATAACACAGGTCCAGGTCCGGTCATCCGGATCATGCCGTAACAATCCAACAACCCGTGGGGAAGCCGGTTCTCTGCAGCGATAAGGATGTCACAAATGACTAGGGCTTTCTCAAACTCAGCGTCACGTTTATTGCTTACTAGCTTATTCATTTGAATGATATATCGAGCACTCTTAAAGTCACGCATCTTTAGAAGTTGGTGGCACCTTTGGATTGGTTTATCTTCGGGGTCTGTGCGGTTTTTTGAAGCACCTTCTCTAGAAAACATGGCAACGATCTAGCGAAAGATAGAGAGAGGTGAGGTGTGTTTTGGTATTTTACACGATATATGATTCAAGGTCTTTGCACAAGGAGCTATGGTTTTATATTTGATTTGTGAGGGAAGAGTGATTCAATAATTTGTTTTAGCAGGTAATTAATGAAAGGAAAATCTAATCTTACAACTATGACCAAATAATTAATGCAGAGTGATTCTCTTCTATTTTTTCAAGAGTTTAATTATGATTATTTTTTATTTCTATTTATTTTTTGAATTACCTTTTATTTTGTGTGAATACCGTTAACTGTATTTTTCAATATACTTAGGTTTTGAAATGGATCGTGACTACTTTAAGTCTTTAACACATTTTATATTTTTTTTCTTGTAATTGAATATGCAAACTCTAACCATTACATAACTTCTTTAGATTCGGTTTCTGATTTTGGGTTTGTGGCTTAGAACATTTAATAATAAGAAGAAAGATATGGTTAGCCGGAGACGCGCTTTTATCTTTCGCGTTTGAGCATTTAGTGACAGAGACGCCGAAAATTATTTCTCCGGCGAGAGTGGTTCGAGCAATCGGAGAGTTAGCGAAAGCTATTGGATCAGAAGGGCTTGTGGCGGGTCAAGTCGTGGATCTAACCAGTGAAGGAATGGACCAAAACGACGTCGGATTAGAGCTTCTTGAGTGAGTTTATCCACGTTCATAAAACCGCCGTGTTGTTAGAGGCGGCGACGGTGTTAGGTGCCATCGTCGGCGGTGGAACTAATGAAGAGATTGAGAGGTTAAGGAAGTTTGCGAGATGCATTGGATTGTTGTTTCAGGTGGTGGACGGTATTTTGGATGTGACGAAGTCGTCGGAGGAATTGGGGAAAACCGCCGGAAAAGATTTGATCGCCGATAAGCTGACGTATCCGAAACTAATGGGTCTTGAGAAATCTAAAGACTTTGCAGAGAAGTTGTTGAGTGATGCTCAAGAACAGCTTCATGGATTTGATTCGAATAAAGTTAAACCTTTATTAGCTTTGGCTAATTACATTGGCAAAAGACAGAATTAATTCAATTTTTGACGTTTTAATTATTAGATCATATTCTCCGACAATGGTTTAAGAAACTATAGATTCTGTAATAGAGCCTTTTGGCTTTTGCTGGTTATAAAGATTGAAGTTACTTGTTATATTTTGTGTTCTTTTTTTTTGTGCAAAATATTTTGTGTTCTTGGATGATATTTTGTGTTGTGACTTGTGAGATTTCTTCTACATCGGATATTTTTGGATCTTGTTTGATTAATTAAGAATATCTCTTTTTGTGGTGGTCCAAACTCCAAAGGCACATAATGGTATCTGAATCGTTGTGTCGTATTGGTAGTTGTTGGTATTTAGTAGTTCAAATAGACTAATAGACTAATAGACTAATAGACTTTAGATAGTGATGTTTTTATATGTTAAATTTTCTTATTTGGAGTATAAGAGAGGAAAACGTGAGGAGGGAATATTTGACATGATACAAAATCATTGAGAGAATTGAATAATTTCCTCTAGTTCTAACAAACCATTGACCATTTTGAAAATTTCAATACAAGATTTCCTATAAATTATTTAAAAAGTTGGAATATTTCTTTCTGTTTTTCGAAAAAGGTACTTTTAAAACAAAACTCTAATCAGTAAATTGTTTATCTTTATCTCATTAAAGCCAATATAATTCATAACTCTAATCTGAGTTAAGGATATTTAGAAGTTTTTTTTAAAAAAATTTCTTACTTATTTCTTCTTACTAGTTAAGTTACTCTAATTCTAGATGAAACTCCAATGGGCCCGGTGGCTTCAATTTTCAAGCCTCGACGACTGATTATTTTGTCTTTGTTCAGACAAGAAAGAAAAATTAATTAATAAAGTGAAAAAGATAAAACTTTTTCTTTTCTCGTCTTCAGTTTTCTTTCTTTAATTCTTCTTCTTTCTTTTTGTGTTTCCCTTCCTCGTTCTTTCATGTCTTCCTTGTGCCATTGATGAGTCCGTCAACACCAAATCGAGAGTAGTGCAAGACTTTTTCTCACACTGTCTCTAAAAACCGCGTGAGAAATCGTCTTCCTCCTCAGATCTCTCCCTTTTCCCTTCAATTTTCCCGCATTTTCTCTTTCTCTTCCAACCTTCTCCAAGCGTACAAGCTACTTCTTCTTCCATAAACTCAAACTAAAACCCTAAACCAAAACTCTCTTCACCTCTATAAAAACTCCACCTTTTTTTAGCTCCTGTCTATTTCACAGACTTCAATCATCTTGAATCATCTTCAGTTTCCAGGTAAATCTTGAATTCTCTGTTTCACTTTCTACAGATTCTCTGCAATTATTTTAGTAACTTACTCTTGCGCTTTAAGTTTTCTCTTTTCAATGTCGGTTACAAAATTTAGATTGCTCCGTAAGATTCGGCATAAAGTTTGTTGCTTTAAGCTATAAATCAATTACCCATTTCGATTTTTTCTCATTACAAGCTCAAGTTAGGTTTGGTTTTCTAATTTGTTGCTCTTTTGATTAGGTTTGCGAATTTAAGCAATTTCATAGAGATAGAAAAAGAGAAATGATGGGAGGAAAATCTAGCAAGAACAAAAAAAATGTTGAATTTGGTTCACCGTCGACGCCTGTACAAATCAAGATTAACTCAGAGTACTCAGAGCATTTGAGTTCTTACGAGAGAGCTTGTAGTGAAGATCCAAAGCTTGAATCTTTCGACTCTGCGCTTCACGAAAGAACTAACCGAGTCATCAACAAGCTTGCTTCGGGGGTAGAGATTAAGTCTTTGTCGTTTGATTCACTTAGGGAAGTGACGCAATGTCTTTTAGATATGAATCAAGATGTGGTTAAAGTTATATTGCAGGATAAAGAAGATATATGGAACAATCAAGATTTGTTCTCTCTTGTGAATTTGTATTTTGAAAGTACTGCAAAGACTATGGATTTCTGTTCTGAGCTTGAGAATTGTCTTAACCGCGCGAGGAGGAGTCAAGTGATTATTCAGTTTGCTGTTAAGCAGTTTGAGGAAGAGGCGGAGATACCGGTGAATGGGGATAAGGAGAATAGAAAGTATGGGAAGACGCTTGAGGAGCTTAAGAGGTTTAAAGTAGCGGGTGAGCCGTTTACGAAAGAGTTCTTTTCTCTTTTCGATTTGGTTTACAAGCAACAGGTTATGATGCTTGAGGAGCTTCATAAGTTAAAGAAAAAACTCGATAAGAAGCTTAAGAATATCAAAACATGGAGAAGGGTATCGAATATGGTGTTTGTGACTGCGTTTGTCTCTGTGCTTATCTTCTCGGTGGTTGCAGCCGCTGTGGCTGCACCGCCTGTTGTGGCAGCTATAGCTGGTGCATTGGCTGTTCCAGTGGGTTCTGTTGGGAAATGGTGCAACACTTTGTGGACGAAATATGAGAAAGTGGTTAGAGGGCAGAAGGAGATTATTACATCGATTAGAATCGGGACTTACATATCGGTTAAGGAGATGGATAATATAAGTGTTCTTGTGCGTAAAGTGGAAGTAGAGATTGAATCTTTGCTGAAGAAAGCTGAGTTTGCTATTACGGAAGAGAAAGAAGTGAGGCTTGCGATTGATGAGATCAAGAAGAAGCTCGATGTGTTTACTGAAACCATTGAAGAACTTGGGGAACATGCGGGTAAGTATTGTAGCGATGTGACTAAGGCGAGAACTGTGATTCTGCAGAGGATAATCCGATACCCGGCTGGTTCACCGAAGGATGAAGCTCCTTGGTAAGAAATCCGTTTCCCCTAAAGCTAGCTCGATAACTCGGAAACTCGAATAGTAAACTTATATACTATATTCTTTTTTTTGCTTTAGAACTCTAGAGAACAAAAATGTGAACATTCTTATGATTCATCATTATGATTTATGAATGGTTTGGATTGAGAGTTTTTTTTCGTGTTTTCGATTGATGATCAGGACGGAGATGGTGTAGTGAGAAGGCGGATTCGGATTCGTGTTTGGCATTGAAAAATTGTTGGTTTGTTATCTTTAGCACAAGTGTTATGAACAGCTAAAGGATAAACTTACTTAATGTTATTAGTTGCCCTGAGGTAACATTTGCTTAATACATTACCTAAAGAGACACTTGTAAGGTTTTTATGTCATTTATTTTGGCTTTATTTAATCAGACTTGTATGTTTATAAATGAATGTCTCTGTGCTTAGTCAAGGCTTAGAGAATTACTAAGCTGAATACTTAAAGAATCAATCAATTTAAAAAATAGGACGTGAAGAGTTAGTTGATGAGACGAGGGAGGGATGTTTCAATGTTCTTTAACGTAAATTTTGGACATGAAACATGTTTTAAAAGTACAAATTGACTTGTGTGGCTCGATGTGACAGACTTGGTCTATGAAACGGTTGACTGATTAATCAATAGACCAGTCACCTAGTTTAATTCTAGTGGACTTGTTTCGGACCAATTCTGACTTCAACAAAATAATGAGGTTTAGTTAACATCATTTATTTACTACGCAAATTAACCCTAATAATTACTGGATAAACAAATGAAAGCCCATTTTGACAGCTCCATGAGGCTTGCGATATACGTGCTTCTGATTTCTCACCAAGTTTTACTCTCCATGCTAATGATGGTGAAGTCTCCTCCATTTCATACAACATACATGCCCCCAATGTAAGTACATACATGGAAAGAGAAACGAGTATATGTGCATATTCCTAGCATTTTAAGTCATTATTCTCCGAGATGTGCAGCTTTTGGCTACAGGATCTTCGGATGAAAGTGTGAAACTTTGGGATCTTTCAAACAATCAACCTTCATGGATTGCTACACACATGCCAAATGCTGTAAGAGCCATGAATAAAAAGTGCAGTTTTGCTTCCCACATGTTTCTCTTTGGTTCTTTGTTCACCTTTTTACAAACTTTGTTGTCAAACAGGGACTAGTTTTCTCGGTCTCATTCTCCGCAGACTGCCCTTTCTTACTCGCTGTTGGTGGCTCAGAAGGGAAGCTAAAGGTAAGTAGAGATTCTGATGATACAAGAAATAACAAATTATGTTTTTAGGAAACTAATGTCTATATTTGTGTAGGTGTGTGATACATTGTCGGACACCGGTGTGTCCCGAAGATATGGAAGCAACCAACCATGAATCAACCAAGAGGATACTTTACTTCTTGAAGCATATAAAGATATGTGAACAACAGACCATGACCATCAATGCAGTGGTTCAAGTGAGCATAATTAATAGTGTGAAAGATGAATTATAAAATTAGAAACTCCCTATAGTTTCATTACAAAGTTGGTATCATTCAAGAAAAAATATAAAGGAAAAATCAAACACATAATCATTTTGGCTACTAAGCACAACGGAAACTACAAGCTCGCAATAAAGAAACTTATATATTTTGTGTTGGTCATATTCATATGCCACTGTTACTATATATTTTGACAACATTATAACATCGTCATGTAACTTGTTTAGCAAACAACAATTTTCAGTTGTTTCTGTTGGCAATGAAGTTAGTAAGAGCTATCAAAGGTTTCACTTTGTCCTCATCAAACCCTTGAAGATGCTCTCTCGCATCTCTATTCAACTTTTTCACTAACTCCTTAGATTTCTCAAGACCAATCACTCTCGGATACGTCAGCTTTCCGGCGACCTGATCTTTTCCGGCGGTTTTTCCCAATTCCTCCGAGGACTTGGTCTCATCCAAGATGTCATCAACCACCTGAAACAACAATCCAATACACCTCGCAAAGCTTCTCACCTTCTCTATCTCTTCCTCTGATCCACCGCCAATAACCGCTCCGATAACCGCAGATGCTTCAAGCAACGAACCCGTTTTATGAACGTGAATATACTCAAGATCCTCTAATCCGACGTCGTTTGGATCCAACCCTTCACTGCTTAAATCCATCGCTTGTCCAGCCACAAGTCCTTTCTTTCCAATAGACTTAGCCAATTCTTTAACGGCTCGAACCATTTTCTTGGATGACACGTCAGCTTCCGTCAAATGCTCGAAAGCTAGAGCTAAAAGTGCGCCGCCGGAGAGAATAGCTACACTTTCTCCGAAGACTTTGTGTGTTGTTGGTTTTCCTCTTCGGAGATCGTCGTTGTCCATACAAGGAAGATCGTCTTTTATTAGTGACATTGTGTGGATCATTTCAACCGCACAAGCGGCTTGAATCGCCAAACGCTCTTCCCCGCCCACTAGCTCACATGCGGCGAGGCAGAGTATTGGCCTGACACGTTTTCCACCTGCGAGAATTGCGTAACGCATTGCCTTGTGGATGTTGAGAGGCTCAATGAGTGGAATGGCTTCATCTAATGCTCTGTTTATTGTCTCTGCTTTGCTGATCATGTATGGTTTGAAATCAAAATTGAAACCGAAATCGTCTTCTTCGTTTACTAATTTGATTGATGAATCAAGAAACTCACGGGTGTCTTTTCTTGCGAAAATAGCAGCGGCGGCTGGTGATTTGATCGGGAGATGGAGAAGGCGGATAAGCCGCCGTCTATTCGCCGGACTCAACCGTCCTTTCAGAGTTGCAAACACAAAGTGTAGAGATAGAAAGACGATAAAAAGATAGAGAAAGATATTTTGAGCTTCCATTTTGATCAACAATAGATGATTGATTGATCTTGGATTCTTCTTCTTTGTAATAACTTTTTGTTCTCTGTTTTTTTTCTGGAGTTTTAGGAAAAGGTCAACGGCAAGGCACGTCGTGGGATCATATCATTCTTCGTAAGATCGGTTAAAATTTAAATTAATTGAAGCATGGTTTGGATCCAAGCCGTTTTATTTGAAGTTTGGTGTGGAGTGAAGTTGAGCAAGCGAGTCATAGTGTTTTTTTTTTTTTTTCTAAATGCATTGATATCAAATCATGATTACAAGTATATAGAAACTTTCGAAAACAAATGATTTTATACATAAACAGATATATGCGTCATATAATAAGAAAGATACAAATGATTTTATACATAAACAGATTTATACAAATTTTAGCCAAATAACCGAATCAAATTAACCAAAAACCGAACCAATCCGAACCGAATTATAGTTCGGTTAATTTCGTCACCTTAGCCCTTAACCAAAATAATGGAAAACCGGAATACCTGAACCGAGTTGAACCAAACTTGGTTCTCAGTTCTTTCTAGTCCATAGCAGAGGATATACTATATATACATTAGAGCCTCATCAATGTTGTTAGAGCAGTGTACATGAGGACACAGAAGAATTAACGAGGTTCGGCAACGTGCCTACGTTCTCAAAACATGCACTTGTTGTATTATAGACAATCTTACAATAAGACCTTGCCTAACAGGAATTAAACGACACTAAGAACCTCTTAGCTCGACACCAAACACAATCTAGCTACACATGGTCTGGAATTAAGAAATCAATGTGAAGATGAAAATAATAGAAATTAAGAAACTTAAGTGTGAAAACGATCGAAACTAACCGCAATAACTCAAAATCTTAAGATAAGCAAACAATGGACACATGATTGTAGTGAAACAAATATAGAAATGAATGAAACCCATGTCATGAGAAACAGAAAACAAATACATGATCAAGGAGAAGATGAAGCCGTTAAACTTTAAGAGGAGAAGAAGCACAGCTTTTCTAGAAATTTGGTATACTTAACAAATTAAAACATGTTCTCTAAAAAATACAATTCCAATTTTCACAAAAGCAAATGAACGGACGTGAAAGTGTGTTTGCAAATGAACGAAAGTGAAAGTGTGTTGTTCAATTTCAAAACACTTTTTGTAGATATAACGGAATGAACCACACCTTCACAATCATTGGAAAATGTCATAATATACAGAAGACAAATCTCGTCATATCTTACAAGACAATGTCATAATTTAAAGAAGACTCTGGTAATTAACATGATTGCGATACATTAACTTTGTTCAACTAAAACTACTCAAATAGTAAAAGGAGATTAGAACAATGGGTAAAATGTTTGCAGACCAACCACATTTTCTTTTCTTTTTTTATAACGACCGACCACATTTTCAATGTGCCTAAGAAGTAAGAACCCTACATATCTTAAATAATCTCCCACTATTCATCCACTTTCTCTCTAATGAAAACACACAAATTTTCAAACACAATTCTAGAGAAAGAATAAAAAAAATTAATAAGCAAAAGAAAACTAAATCCTAAACATTGGATGTAGAAGGCTGAACAAACTTGTTTTGTCTCCCTGCAAGCCAAAGCATGGTCCTCCTAGCAAAAGATGGCGTTTTCGTCTCCAAAGATTCCAAATTTTCGCTCTTTTGACTCTCTTCATTGATCTCGGGAGGAATCTGGTGGTTTGGAAATCGGAGTGAAGAGGAAGACAACGAAGAACAATCCTTATCTCTAGCACTAGAACCCTTTTGCTTCTCCTTTTTACCCCTTAGCCAAATTTTCGACAAAGAAAAGCTCTCTCTTTCCACAACCCTCTTCTCGATTCCCTTAACTGTTGGATCAAAACCGCATTCGGACATAAAGGCCCTGTTGCCTGGTAGTTTCTTGGTCGAAATGTGAACCTTAAGTGTAGCTTCTTGGTCCATAATATACTCATATGATCCCATTGACAAACACCTCCTTCTATCTACATTAATGCTATTACCACTTATGCTATTTTTGTTGTCGTTGTCACTTCCTTCACCAACATAATCTATGTTCCTAAACTTCCCTAACTTAACTTCTAAAGGAACAACCTTTCCATCTAAACCATCCAATTCACCATCCGGGTCACATGATTTACGACCCGACCTAATCCGGGTCGACTCAAAATCATTGTTCCCATCATCAATACACAGTTGAGAATTAGACTCAAGAACAGGAACCATATCTCTCGAGCTTTGTTCACTCTCAAGAACAAGTAGATACGAGGAACTTAGATTGTGGTGAGAAGAAAAACCAGAGAGGAGGTTAGATCTACACAAGGGACAAGTAGAGTGAGAGAGAAGCCACGTGTCAATACACTCAACGTGAAAGGCATGGCTGCATTTAGGCAAGAGTCTAAGTTTGTCCTCTGTTTCAAACTCACAAAGACAAACAGGACAATCGAAAGGAGAGATTTTGAGACCAATGATAGATTTGTAGTGAAAAACAGGTAACGTGTCGATTAAGGATTGGTCGACGCCAGAATCATGGAGGTTAAAGAGTTGTTGAAGCTGGCCTTGAAGAGCTGTAACATTGTCGAAGTAATCTTCTCTGTTTTGTGTTGATGGTGTGAGGAGGAATTTTACAAGGATATGAAGAAGACCAGAGATGAAGAAGATGATCGAGAGGATTATGATTATTAGAAGAATATTTGGAGTGATTTTCTTGTTTAAATCGAAGCTTGTGTTTGATTTGAGAGGTATCAATGGTGGTGGTGGTGGTGAAGAAAAGATCAAATTCTTGTTCATGTTTTCTGAGAAAAAAAAAAATCAAGAACAGAGATTATAAATGCATGCTCTGTTTTATGAGAGTTTTGGTTTATCTTGAAATTGAAAGAAGAGATATAAAAATTTGAGCTTAAAGTTTTTAGAAAAGTTAAGAGACCAGAGTGATGATTAAGAGAATTACAGGTTGGACCATTGATGGTGACAGATGAGCAAATTTATTTCAGTTTATATTTTTCTTTCAACAAAGAAGAGAGGCTTTGAAATGATTCTTTAAAATTGTGAAATTAATGGGATTTGGATCTTTGTATTTAATTACCTAAAAATGGGAAGTCAACGAAACATTTCTTTAAATGAAAAGAACGGATACAATCACTTTCTTTCATGAAATAATAATAATATCTTATGATTTTGTAACCAACCCATGGCCTCCCATGTTAAAGCCAACCGGACAAACGATATAATTGTACAATCCATTTTAAAATCTGACAATTTAACTTGTAATATATAACATTCCGAGTTTGAATTCAAAATATCATTAAGATTGCAAACCACTAGACTAAACATGTTATTTTACTAAATATTTTTAACATAACAATAAACAAACTAGTGTTGTTGCCATGAGTGATGAATTTGTTTATATATGTTTGGGGCATGAATTATTTTCTTTTGGATGGGTTGTTGTTTTTTGCTAGAGTTTTTTTTTTTTTTTTTTTTTTTTTGATATACCCGATCGGCTGATCCGGTCAGCCCTGGGGGAACGCACCGAAGTGCTACCATGTGGACTCACTACCACCCCGAAGGATGGGCTACCACACTGCCTAACCCAAGTTTGGAATGCTTTCCGACTAATGCCCGGGGGTAGCTGGATCGCCTGTTACCAGACTACCAGGTAAACTGCCTGGGCCGAAGCCCAAGCCCAGACTTCCCACAAAGTGTTGATAACAGCGAGGGAGGAAGATCGAACCTGGGTTCGGGGATTTCACCCTCAACTCCAGACTCGCCCTACCACTAGCCCACCACCTTGCGGGCAAAGAAGCTTTTGAGGCATCTTCGACTTTTGGATTTGTTTGGGAGGAGATAGTTAAAACTAGAGTCACACCATTCTTCGTTAGTAGTTGGAATGCGCGCTATGTATAGGCTAAACGAGATCGACTATGGATTATTGATACCATTTTTCGCACGTTATATTGCCTTGTCAATACTCATCGTGGAGTTGACAGTGTTGACATTTCGTCGTTCTATGCATTTTGGTTTGAGCTGTTCATGCAAGCTCAATAAACGATCAAAACATTTACTGATTTTACATGATGAAAAAGACTCCGATGCTCAAATTCAAACATAAACCACACGACTACAGAAAGTTAAGGATTTGGACGACATAATGAATGATAGTTATGAGTTAGTCTTTGGATTCTGTTATTAATCCGGTGAGATGGGATCTCTGATTAGATGGCTCATGTCGTTGACTGTCACATTAACCTTGGTTGATCACATGTTTTTTTTAGTGTAGACACACCTATATTTGACATCTTTGGGTATCTTATTAAGAGTTGACATTTTAGTATGTGTTTTTAGTGCGAGCAGAACAGTCAGTTTTCAAATTAAATGTATGAGATAAAAAAATGAGACATTATAGAAAAGTTAACACAGAACTATTGTTATTTAAAAATAGAAATAACTGTATTTCATTTCATAATTTTAGGCAGTAAACAAACATTCTATTTTGAGAAACGAGAAACACGAGAGAGGGGGAAACATGAAGCCAACATGGAAGAAGGTTCTATGGCTTTCTTTGTTTTATGTTTTAACTCGAGGCAAATATGGTCTCGTGAAAAGAAAAAAAAAAAAAAATGGTCTCGTGCTTTTTTAATTTATTATATGCTTAGAAGAACAATGTACCTAAAAGGCTAAAAGATACACATTTTCCATTTATTTTTCTTGTTATCACTTTTTGGTTTATGATTGTGTTTTAATTTCCTATGGTACATAAACTATCATAATTGAAAAACCAGGATGTGTAGCTAGGTCAACTTACATAGCCTTTTGATAGGCTCACGAATTGAAGAACCATTATTAGAAAGTTATTTGAAAAGTGGAATACAATTTTGTTAGCTCGATTTTAGGAGATGGTATGGCGAGAAAGCCCACTCACTCCTAAAACTACCAAAAACTAAAAAAATACCCATTCATATTTGAGTTTTTTTTTACATACATACATATTTTCAAATTTCACATAAAAAGATTTTGGTCTGGTCTTTGAACTTTTGATTCAGCTGTTCATAAGTTATAAGATTAATTAGTCACATATATCATTTATATTTTATATTTTTCTTTGTTTTAAAATTCTAAACAAACATTTATAATGATATCGATAAAATAAATGTATAGGCTTTCTATAGTTTGGGGCATTGTTAGAGGACTTACTTAAACACCTACACTACAGTCAAACTTGCAAATAAAGGGATTGTTTATATAAATCTTGTGTAGATCGTACCGAGCCGGTTTGGTTTGGTTTGGTAAGTGTTCGAGTTGTTTGGTTGAGAAAAAATAAAACCGATTTGAGTTGTTCTTTGGATTTGGCCGGTTCGATTAGAGACAAAACTGATTTGAGTTCTTCAATTCATTTTGGTCTGGTTTGATTGAACTAATGATATTGTTGATGTCGGACGCACCAAAGTTATTGCAACACTACAAAAAAAAAATGTCTTATCTATTTAATTTTGTGTAGTCAAATAAGAGTTATTGAAATACAGCTAATCCGCAATTCATAAAATAAGTTTGAGATTCATTTTATGAAAACTCTGTTAAAATATTTTCTTTCTTTTGTGTTTGCAGATTAGGATAATATTTTTTATTTTTTCGTTTTGTATATTATTTTTTTCGTTATATATTTTTTTTTGTTTTGTATTTTTTTTTCTATTTTTTTTATTTAATTTAATTATTATATGTTAATTATTTTATTTTAATAGAATTAGAAATAAAATGGGTATTTGGTCTTTTAACACAAAATTATGTTATTCTAGTAAAACACAATATTTGGATGTTAATATTTTTCCCTATATTTATGTCCAACTAGGTAAATTTCAGTTTTTATAATCAAACTATTCTTAACTCTTGTTTGGAAAAGATTTTGTTATTTTTTATAGGTTTCTAAACAGTTTTAAGTTTTAACCCTACCAAAGAGATATCAAATTAATGTAAACCGTCTATTAATAGTATACGGAAAATTGTAAACTAAAATAGGAAATAGTGGAATTCCTTATTTGAAACACACTGTTCTCATCACAAAGGATCATCCATACATATATATATCAGTTCCTTTCGATTTATTGGAATAGTACCACGAAATCATCTCTCGGTTTTTTTTGCTTATAGTGTATATCAAGTATCAACTTCATATCCTGCAGAAGAGAAGAATTGTCAAATTTTTTGTTAATTAAGAATTGTCAAATTTATCAAGACAATGTTAAACTTTTTTTTTTTTTTGTTAAAAGACAATGTTAAACTTACGATGAAAAAGATGTTAGAATGAAACTTACGGTGTGTACACGACGCGGATGTTACCGGCATCAATATTAGCGATAACCCGAAAAGCGTCACGAGAGAGATTAAGGTCACCGTTGCAAGGCTCCCGGCAGAAATCAACTACCTTCACGTCTACGGTGCGACCAGTGCATGCTCCAGGAAAGTTGTACGTAGCACCAATGCATCGAACCCTGTACCTCCGACCACAAGCTTGACCATTTTGCCACAAATTGTTCTTGACTCCGACCACCATCGTCTCACGTTGTGTTCCGTAACACGCAGACCCTAATTACATCATTAATTTGTAATTAATGATATATTTATAATATATGAAACAAAACTATGTATAATTGTATATACGTACTAGTGTAGGGAGGGTCGTAATAGACAGCTTTTCCTAGAGCAGCTTCAGCAATTGGAGCTAAGATTTGTGCAAACACTATCATCATTACCACAAATTTTACTACCATTTTTATCATTTTCTTTATGATGTTGAACTTGTTTGTGAAATAATGAAGCAAAGGGAAGCGAGTATTTATATATAATTGGACCCAAAGACTGTAAGTAAAAGGAAAAGTCTTTGGTCTACGTCAAGTCTTCCATTACTTAATTGTATAATTGATTTCATACTGGACAATTTGTTTCTTACTCCACCTAAATTTTCTTGGTGAATTGAATGAATATGAATATATGATGATGATGTGTGAAGGAAAATTCCACGAGGGTTTGAAATTTAAAGTTCACTTTTTTGAAATTTGTTTTGTTTTTTTTTGGCAGAAAGAAATGATGTGGATTGTATTTGACAAAGGTACGAAGGAAATTTCCAAGAAACTAGAGAGGGTTTGAAGTTTAAAGCTATTTTTTAGAAAAATGGTTTAAAGCAGAACCAAGCAAACCAATTCACATAATATGGTGAGCTCGCTCATTCTACAAGTCCAAAACTATGAAACATTAATGCTCAAATTTCATAGAGGATGGATTAACTCCCTCGTTTGGCTCACGCTCTTAACTAACCTCATTGCGCTGCTTTTCTTTATACTATATTTTCCTCCTGTCTTAAATTAAACAAAGTTAAAATATAAAAATGCATTTGATGTAAACAAAATTTACATTTATACAAAAAAAAAATTTTAACCAAATAATCCGTCTAGATTTCTTGTATTTTATTTTAGACTCTTTTTATAACACCAATACCCTTAATTAATACCTCAAATGTGGGATTTCTAAGAGTACCTTCATTGAAGATTTTTTTAACATGGATCTCTCATCTTAAAGAGAAAAAATATAATAAAAAAATATGTGAGTTTCTTAAATAGTGAATTCAAGAAACTTTCTCCAAACTTTAAGATACTTTGGAAAGAGTTTATTCGATGTTCAAAAAACCTCACATACTGTATGTAAATTAAATAATAATATTTTTTGTTGTCCCAATATTTTTTTTTTCGATAGGAATGTGAATGTCATATGATATGAAAATGAGGTTTTACAAAAAAGTTTAACCTATAAATGTAAACTTACTAAAAAAGAAATAAAAAACAAGATTACAAGAAGAAGTTGAGTGTCAATCAACAAGAATCATTGGATCCAACGAACCATATGGTTCCTGAAAAGCTTGCGAGTCTGTCTGGCCGAGATAGTGTTTCGAACCTCTTTGTCAATGTCGTTAAAGACAGTTTCAGAAGGTATAGAAATCTGGTTATGGAGAAGATTATTTCCCTACTTCCAAATATGGTAAACAGCAGCTTGGGCGACGACTTTCCTGAGAATCTGAGGGGCCGAATCTTTTTTCAACGTTGTCTAGGCAATAAGAGAAGGCCAAGCGTAGAAAAAGCAAGGCGAGTTTACATGTTAAGAGACTCATGTTAGAACACCTCCAATAAAAATGTGCTTGTCATATAACACCAATAAAATTAGTCAAATGATGAAGTATGAAAAACAAATTTGTTTGCGTTCTTTACAAGAGAGACATATTTCTCGCTGTCATCATTGTCAAATAAATAAATCTGCGTTTATGAATTCCAACATTCTGGAGGATAATTGGGCTTAGTGGGCTGAAGGCCAAAATCTGTAACAAATAATTAAACTTTCTAGCTAAGAATGAGATTTGGGGCCTGATTGGCAAGTGCTTTAGAGTCTTTACAAAGCAAAAAAATTTCTAAAGATTTGAAATACATCCAATCAAGCTTTAGAAGCTTTAGCTTTCCTTTTTTTTCTCACAGCCAAAATATTTCCTTAATTCATTTTTTTGGCTGTAGAAAGCCTTTTTTCCTAAAGCACATAATTTTCAACTTTCCAAAATTTTAAATTCTACAGCCAAAATACTACAGCAATAAAATCTACAGCCACAGCAAATAAACCTACAGTCATATTTTTACAGCAAAAAATATAAAGCTACAGCTGTTACCAATCAGGCCCTTGATCAATGTGGTTGAGTTGAGATAACGATTTGCCCTTATCGAGGAAGTTGCCTTTGTCGGCTTGTCGCTATTTTATTCATCAATCAAAGATTGAGAATTACAAAATGAGATTTTAACTTTCAAGTATTGCCATTTGTGTGTTTCTTCTATAGAACACGAACAAAACGAGATGATAACCCAAAATATGTAACCTTTTAAATTTTTATTTAGGGTTTTTGTTATATCATCGTCCAAGTTTAAAGTTACATATCGTATATTGTTAAAAGAAAAACAACAAAAGAACAAACCAAAGAATGTATAAAATGTAAAAGGTATCAAAAAAAGAAAATGTATCAAAACTCTTTTCAAAACGTCCGTAACAAACGACAAATCTATGTTCAGAACGAGTATTTAGATTTAGTAGCGGTTTCATAGGTCTCCAAGTACAAACCCTTTCACAAAAAAAAAAAAGTAAGAATATTACTTTTAATACTAAATTAGAAGTTCGAATATTCCATCTTTTTCCATACTATGGTCTTAAAAAAACAATGGGAGGATATTTGCTTTTCCTTCATGATAATGTTTAAAATTATGTATTGGATGAGATCATGAGAAGATATTTCTTATTATTATATAGATTCTTTTAGACATGGAGCCAAAAAAAAACCATATATTAAAATCTTTTATCACATGATCCAAAGCACAAAAAGTAAAAATAAAAGTATCTCATCACATGACCGTTTTAACCAAACGTTACTGAATAAAATCAATTTTTTTTCTCTGAAATTTTGCTCTGACAATATATTTGATTGCGTCATTTTCTACTTTGGAAATGTATCTGATTTAGCATTTTAGTTCGCTAAAAACATCAAAATCTTACCTTCTTTAGCTTTCACATTAGATAGATTCTGGTAATCATAAACACAAAAAGAGAAGCCAGACAACGAAACAACAACAAAAAAAGAAAGAGAAGATTTTTATTTCTTCCGATGCCTCCGACCAATAATTACCGAATCTCCGGCGAGCCACCGTCTCCTCCACCGCCAAAACCGAAAACAAAGATTCTCTCTATATTCCTCGTCGGTGTAATCATGTTTTCAATCTTCTTTCTCTTCCTTGTTCTTATCGGCATCGCCTCTGTTCTTATCCTCCCTCTCCTCCTCTCTTCTCTCCATCGTCACCACCGACGTCGCCGTCGTAACCGTCGACAAGAATCCTCAGATGGGTTATCTTCAAGATTCGTGAAAAAGCTTCCCCAATTCAAATTCTCCGACCCCACCACATACACACGGTACGAGAGCGATTGTGTGGTTTGTTTTGATGGATTCAGACAAGGACAATGGTGTCGGAATCTTCCTGGTTGTGGACACGTGTTTCATCGGAAGTGTGTTGACACTTGGTTGCTCAAATCCTCGACTTGCCCGATTTGCAGAGCTAGGGTTAGATTGAGGGAAGAAGATACACATGAAGGAGAATTATGGAGATGTTTTGGTCATAGAAGAAGTAGTTTGCTAGATTTGTAAGTGCTCTGTTTCTTGTTTTGGTTTTGTTTTAGTCATAATTATTGAATTAGAAGTTATAATCATTTAACAATGTTTGAAGGATTCAACATTAAGTTCTAGTTTATGACTCATTCTTGATGATTTGTTTGTTTGAGGAGACTAATTACTTCATTGGTTTATAGTGATTTGAATCATTAAGCTCTCTAATAAGATATAAATAGATAGATATGTAGTCGTTTTCAGTTTTTAAACGGTGATATAGTGTTTCTTGACCGATTCAACACGAATTGATGAAGTGATTGTTGATCACGTTTGTTACGTTTAATGAGGAAGGCAACTTGCGTTTTTGAACATGTTACCGAGCTCTTGTTTTCTCTCTTTAACATCTCTAGTTATGTCGCGGTCTAGAAGTCATTGTTTAGACTTTTCATTGATGTCTTATGCTTCGGTTTCTTGTTCTTGAATATGTCTAAGTCTTGTTTTTTTTTTCGTTTGATTTTGGATTGAATAGGTAATATTGTGTGGTTCCATAGACGTGGACTCAGTCAAATGGATGATAAGAATCTCCATAACCGAAGCTACCCAGAGGTACAATACAAGCCAAAGACTATTTCCTCCGTTGAAAAGTAGCGGGTCAACCAATCAATCTTATGGTAGTATATATGAGCACTAAGCAGATGGATTTGATCTTATAAACCCCTCACTACCATTACCAAAAACCAGTAGCCAAGAGTTTTTTTTCATTTTTCTTTTAAAACCCATGGATCGGTTTTCGTTCTTGAATGTTGTAATGGAGGTTGCGGGTATTCTAAATGAATCCCGCAAACTCTTTCTCAAGAACAAAAAGTTGATGTTTTCAGTCTTGGCATTTCCTCTCTTACTCAATTGTTTAGTTTACTTGTTCAACGCCATTGCCATCAAACCCGAGATAACAAACTTGATCCTTGAATCAAGTTTGTTACCTATGACAGATCCAAACACCCCGGAATATGCTGCCCATCTTATGAGAGTCTTTGTAGATTTTCGTCAGTTTGTTAGTTCTTTATACATCTTCTTTGCCGTCTCCTGCATCATCAACCTCTTATCCACTCTTGTCATCGTTCACGCATCGGCTCTTACTCATAAAGATGATAGCTTCGAGATCAAAGATTTTCCGATTCTGACCCTTAAATATTGGAAGGGACTTCTTGTGACTAATTTCTACATTGCTCTCTTCAGTCTTGGCTATTGGTTCCTATTCGTTATAATCCTTTTTTCTATCGTTTTCTTCTCTACAAAACTCGATTCCTTGGTAGCCAAATCTCACGCTTTATGGATTCTATTCGCAGTCTTTGAGGCTTACTTAGCTATAGTTTGGAACTTATCTATGGTCATATCGATACTCGAGGATACTTATGGGATCCAAGCTTTGGGGAAAGCTGCAAAGATTGTTAAAGGGATGAAGCCAAAACTATTCCTCTTGAATCTTTTCTTTGGTTTATTGTCATTTGGATTAGTTCAAATCTTGCGACTGATCGATTGGAGTAGTTCATTCTCGGTTACCTTAACCACCGGTTTGGTCCTTGTGAGTTCGGTCTTTATGGTGAGGATGTTTCAGCTTGTGACTTACACCGTTGCCTATTTCCAATGTAAGAGCCTGCAAGGCAAAGACGTTGACTCGCTGAGGGATGTGGAATATACGAAATTGTCCTCCACTACTCTCATGGGAGGATTGCCTTGATTATATCTATAGAAGTGTATATAGTTTGTTTGTCTTAAGAATGTTGAAGTTCACCATGGATTCGGTAAATGAGTGCTAATAATCAAAGTTTGTTTTTTTACAAAGTAATAATCAAAAGTTTGGTTGTATATGTATGTATATAGCAAGGTATTTTTGCTTTTCTATACAATGCCGCATATGATTTGATTATCCATTTCGATCAAAATGAGAAAACCACTATACTACAACAATTATTATCTTTTTGATATAAAGTTTTATAGAAAGCAAACCAAAATAATAATTAGAAAAAAGTTTTTTATGTGTCGCTATTCCAGAGAAGTCTGGTCTGCGCTAGTCTCCAAGCTTCTCTCCACGCGATACACAACTAGATGGCACCATATTATCAACCTCCTAACGGAGACCTCCTTAGGACATGATCAACTGTTTCTTCTAAGGTATTGTTTTCAGCTCTCAATACATGCTCTGTGGGGAGAAAGAAACAATAGAAGACATGGCGAGACTTAAATTCCAGCAAGCCAACTAGTCAAAAGACTGGACAAGCAAGTTCGGAATAGAATTTCGTCGATTCGCGAGCAAGGGGATGGCAAATACAGAGGTTGTATGGTGACTTGGTTCAAATCAAGATAACCACAAGGCTTTATCAGTTGTTTCTCAGATTTTTTGGTTAAACGAATGTATAAACTCTCGCTGCACTTGATGTAAAAACGTTTTTTTCGAATAAATTTTACATTTTATTCAAAAAAAATAAAAAAAAATAATAATTAAAAAAAGAAGAAACAACAAATCACAAATATCTTTAACTTTACGTGCTTTTGTTGACATTCTAGCATCACCGCGTCACTTCTTGCGGATAAAATAAGAGAATATGCATAAAATAGCCAAATTTTTGAAGATGATTAACAAACTAACCATATGCTACAATAACTTGTCGGAACTATGTCTGAGAGCGTGCATAATTACGTAAACGTCCTTTGTAACACGCTTTTTTCTCGAATTACAGGTGATAGCATAATATATCTCTTTTTATCATGTATTTTTCTCGTATTACACGTTATTTATAAAGAACACATGGTATTTCTTGGAAAAACATTCTATTAAGTTTAATATCTCTCTTTATCATGTTATTTTGTAATGATATTAATACACGTTTTTATTAAGATCACATGTAATTTCTTTTAAAAAAGATGATTATTTTTTAGTATTACATGATTTTTATTAATATTACATGTGATTTCTTTTTAAAAAAATTCTATTCAGATTAAATTTTCCATAACAATGTTTTTTCTTAAAAAAACACTACGTAACAATGTTTTTCTTTAAAATTCACCATGTTTTTTGAAATATCATGTCTTTTAGTTAAATATAACATGTGAAATTTAAATGTTACATGCTATTTTAAAAAATTTCACGAAACTGTCTCGCATATCGTTGATCTCGCAACAAGCAAAAGATAGTTTTGGTATTTCATTTCTTCTGACAACGTGGGTCCATGGCTATTTTGCAACAAAAAACTTTCTCTCTACTATTTTCTTAATTTCAGTGTTTTATTTGGCTATTCATTAATATTACCCATAAAATAAAGACTAAAAATGTTCGGGTGTGAAAACCTGATGTAACTATCATGAAATATTCAAATACACACCAAAAATCCAAAAGCTAACTTCAATGTGGATTTTGGTTTGGGCTGAGATATTTCAAACTTCAATCTAAAATTTATTGGCAACTATACTATTTTAAAACCAAAATAAAACCTACATTGTTTTTGTTTTTTTTTTTTTGTTTTTTTTTTTTTTTTTTTGTGTAAACCAAACCTACATTGTTATAAGAGATATAATAATGGGGAAACTTATACGCTCTTTTTTTAATGGGGAAACTTATACATTAAGCGATATAAAAGGTTATATACTGTACATCGGTTGGATCTTCACAAATCGAGCATCGGGACTCCATCTTCAGGCCTCGGCATCATCGACCCACATCAGATCGCCAATTCTGGCGGAAGCACAAGCGATCCTTCATGCTATCAGACATGCTTCAGAGCTGGGTTTCACCAATCTATCTATAGCTTCAGATTCAAAACAATTGATTGAAGCCATCAAGTCGGAGTCTCCATTGATCGAGCTCCACGGGATTCTACATGATATCCTGATCCTATCTTCTTCTTTTTATGCAATTTGCTTCAAGTTTGTTCCTAGAGAAAAGAATCGAGATGCTGATGCCTTGGCAAAGCTCTCCCTTCACAACTCTGTTATTTCCTCCTTTTAATTAATGAAATGCTTACTTTGCCCAAAAAAAAAAAAAAAAAAAAAAAAATACTGTACATAAGTAATGAAAAAAGTATAAGTAAATGACCATGAGTTGGTAATTTTTTTAAAAAAACGATGGATGATACGTAAATTTTTAATTAAAATTGATAAACTGCATAATATTATATCAAACAATTTATTTAACCGTAAAAACAAAAAGATTAGATTTAAATAAAAGAGAGGTTAGATTGAGGGAGGAAGATCCACAAGAAGGGGAATTATGAAGATGTTTTGGTCTCCCGTGTCTAGATAAGCTATGACTGGGATTGGTTTGTCATACTTGGTCGGGAAGATGTAGATTTTGGCGTTGGGCGATGGTTGAGATATGAATGCCAATTCTTCCCTTTTCGGTTCTTCAACCTTACAGGCATCAAATGTGTAGAGGTCAAATAGCATGAACTGGTCATCTGCGTCTTCTTCATTACTTGATTCGTCTGAAGAGTCTTTATCTTGTTCAATACCCATAGCTAGGATTGTGTCGTCTGATGGTTCATCGTCAAGAGAGAAAATGGATTCAATGTCGGAGTCATCGATATCTTCGATTTGGGCCAAGTATCCGAGTAGATTGTCTCTCTTCTTCTTGTTTGGGCATTGTTTTGCATAATGACCTTTTTTCTGAAGAACTTCCACTTCTTTTTCCCTGAAAATTGGGGATACTTCTTCTGCCATTTTGATGGGGGGATTTCGTCAAAAGAGAAACCATGATGAGGTTCAGCATCAAACCTTGGGTTCCACTCTGGTTTATGTTCTCTCGTTTCTTCATATATGTTCCCATCATCGCTGTCAGACATACTTCCAGCCTCTCACTGGAATCCCTGTTCGGTGGCTTTTAAGGCGGCAAATGGTCAGATTTTCCACATCTCCTTAATCAGTAAGCCCATCTATATCCAACTCTTTCCGGGATACATGATCAAATCTAAGGTATATGGGTCTGAACTACCTGGAAAAGACTTCATACTTGGGTTTGATGTTCTTCATGGCCTCAAGAGAGTATCTTGGCATCCCAAAGGGCTTAAACACAAGAATCATCTACTACCATGGACTACTGTTTCTCATCTTTACCCTATGGAGATTCTCAATCCCGTCAAAGAAGATATCATCAGAACTTCTTGCGCTGCCTCGCATTCAGAGTTCCTCACAAAATGTTCATCACCATTATGGAAGAACCCGGACTTCTTTATATCATTACCTTTCAAAAAGAATGAAGATGTCAATCCAACCAAAGCAAGCCATCCGGGAATGAATCCAGACCATTACAATTTGGCACTTGAAGAAGTTGACCAACTCCAAAAAGAAGACCTCATTGAGAAGACCACCTCACCGTGGGCATGTGAAGCTTTCTATGTCAATAAAAGAGCTGAACAAGTACGAGGAAAACTAAGGTTAGTCATCAACTACCAACCGCTAAACCATTTCCTTGCGGATGACAAGTTTCCTCTACCAAAGCGAGAAGTCCTGTTCCAAAGACTTCCCCAAGCACAAGTCTTCTCCAAATTTGACCTGAAAGCAGGTTTTTGGCAACTTGGAATCAAACCAGAAGATAGACCAAAGACTGGTTTCTGCATACCAGATAGACATTACCACTGGAAAGTCATGCCGTTTGGATTAAAAGTTGCACCTTCACTGTTTCAAAAAGCCATGATCAAGATTTTTGAGCCAATCCTCCCGAACGCACTGGTCTACATCGACGATATTCTGTTATTCTCTTCGGACATTGATTCCCATACAGCACTACTGGCGAAATTTCACAACATTGTGCAACAATATGGAGTCATGCTTTCTGAAAAGAAAATGGCGATTGGAGAAACAGAGATAGATTTTCTGGGTATGCACATCTCTCAAGGAGAATATCATCTTCAGCCTCATATTGCAACGCAACTAGATGAGTTCCCTGACGAAAACCTCTCTTTCAAGCAAGTCCAACAATTCCTTGGCATTGTCAATTACATGTCGGAATTCATCCACGGCCTGGCGAAGCACAGATCGATACTCTCTGCTCAACTCAAGAAAAATGCCCCTACTTGGGATAAAAAATGCACTGAAGCAGTAAAGGAGCTCAAACGAATTTCGAAGACCTTGCCAGCATTAAAGATTCCATCAAAAGGCAAAAGAATCCTACAAACGGATGCAAGTGATTTTTACTGGGGAGCAGTCCTTTTGGAAGAAGATGAGAAAGGTAAAAGGCATATCTGTGGTTACAAAAGCGGAGTTTTCAAGGACAGTGAAAAGCACTACCATTCAACCTACAAGGAGATACTTGCAGTAAAAAGAGGGATAGAAAAATTTGAGTTTCACTTGGTGGGTCAGCATTTCCTCATCGAGATGGACATGTCATCATTTCCTAAAATGATCCAATTCAAGCAGAAGGTCCTACCACAAGCACAACTACTTAGGTGGGCAAGTTGGTTTTCACAGTGGAAGTTCGATGTGAAACATATCAAAGGAAAAGACAATTTTCTCCCTGATTTCCTGTCAAGAACTCAACGACAAATCTCAGCCATCGTCCCAATGATCCTCACCATGAGTCCAGAAAATCCAACGGAGAATACCTTGAGGAATATGATCGCAAGTATGCCACAAGATTTACAAGAGAAGATGCTGGATAATGTTTTAATCTACAGAGGAATCGAGACACTTCATGGTTTCTTGAAGCTCTACATCCATAGGTATGGACTTGACCAAGGACCACTCCTTGGCCTACCTTATCATCCGGTATATCCATTCCTCACCACCATAAACTTGAACCCGTTTCACTATGGAAGATTCCCGATAGAAGCATATCTTGTCCTTTGGTACCTAGCGGACTTATACACTATTGGAGTCCTTGTTCATAAGAAGGAGTTGCTTCAATACTTGGCGAAGTGCATCCTGACCAGAAGGAAGGATCATTACAAGATACTTTACAAGTGGCTGACACTGTTCAACAATGTGACGTGGTGGCAAGAACAGATCCGTGCACAACAAGAGCTATTCATCCTAGTCACTTTCAAGATCACTACAGTCCAAAACCAAGAAGACAATGGAGTCACAATAAAGAAGCTGTATGAGGCACATGTCCAAACAAGCTACGATAATGATGTCCTTAGCCAAAGCGACTTTCACCAAAGGGCAGAGACTATAGCAGCACTGAATGGATTAGACGTGTCAGACCTTGACATAAAGCTCTTTTGTCCTCACACTTCACACTGGCATAACAGAGACGTTTACCCGATGGGATTCGCTGAGGAGATAAGACAAGTACTGGCAGGCTTCCATGATCAATACGCGTGGCCTCACACAAATCGAGATCATCCAATCTACAGGGTTGAAGGGAAAAAATACAAAATCAGAAGATACATTCCAGGACAAAAGATCTACGTGACTGAAGTGGTTTCTGACAGTGAAGAAGAAGACGACAACGACTAAAGGGAACATCACTTCTCTTTTGGAGACAGGGGGAATAAAGATAAGATATGCGTGTGAATAAAGATAAGAATAAAGTTATGGATGTCGTTGTAAGATAAGTTTAGAATATTCTAGCGTGTGCGAGATAAGAAAAGAATACTCTAGGTTGTAAGATAAGAAAGGAATATTCTAAGTAATATTCCCTAAGCATTGTACTATAAATAAGGGAGCTTGGAGGTGTGTTAAACCCAAGCTGAGCGAGTGAGAGTCTTGTAATCATTGGAGTCGTGTAATCCTTTGAGTGTTTTAATAAAATCTCCCCCTTTGTATAATTCTATCCTCTTCTATATACTTTCCTTTAATATAGCCTTTGTCCATACATCTGATCCTAAATACCTCCTTCGTGGTTGTACCCACTATGTGTCTGTAAATTTGGCTCACATAGAAGGAATAGCTTGCTAGATTTTTAAGTGCTCTGTTTCTTATTTTTGATTTGTTTCAATCATATTTTGATTAGAAGTTATAATCATTTTAGCAATTTTCACCATCCTTTAAGAGTGTTTGAAGCTCTGATATTCGTCTATGTTTTGTAAATACAATGATGGTTTGATATCTGATATAGTTGAATTTAATGACCATACAGTTTATGACTCATTCTTGATGACTTGTTCGTTTGAGGAAACCAAATGCTTCATTGGTGTATAGAATCTTTTAACTCTCTAATACTAACATATATATGTAAATAGATGTAGATGTTTCATTTTTTTACACGGTGTCTTGACCTTTTCAACACGAATAGATGAAGTGAATGTTGTTGATCACGTAGATTTGATGACGAAGCCAACTTGCAATGATGTCGCTGTCAGGAAGTCATCAATGCATTATGATTCGGTTTCTTTAATTTGTTCTTGAATTTGTCTAAGTCTTGGTTTCTTCATTTGATTTTGGATTTAATATGTAATAATAATATATTGTGGGTTCTGTGGACTTGGACTCAGTCAATGGATGATAAGAATCTACATAACCGAAGCTACCCCGAGATACAAGCCTAAGACTCTTTTTACGTAGAAAAGCGCGTGGTTCATAATCTAATGGTTAGTAGTATATATATAAGCACTAGGCAGATGGGTTTGAAAACCCTCACTACTATTACCAAAAAACAATATAAGCCAAGAGTGTTTGTCATTTTTCTTTTTGAACCCCATGGCTCGATTTTCGTTCTTGAATGTTTTAAAGGATGTTGTGGCTATTCTAAATGAATCACGCAAACTGTTTCTCAAGAACAAGAAGTTGATGTTCTCAGTCTTGGTATTCCCTCTCTTACTAAATTGTTTAGTTTACTTCTTTAACATCTTTGTCATCGTACCGGAGATCACAAACTTGATCCTTGAATCAAGTTTGTTGCCTACGACAGATCCAACCTCACCGGAATACGCAGCCCGTCTTATGAGAGTCTTTGCAGATTTTCGTCAATTTGTGGGTCATTCATACATTTTCACGGCCGTCTCCTCCATCATCAACCTCTTTTCTGTTCTAGTCATCGTCCACGCATCGGCTCTTACTTTTAAAGATGAAAAATTCAAGATCAAAGATTTTCCTGTTATGAGCCTTAAATCTTGGAAGGGACCTCTTGTGACGTATTTCTACATTGCTCTTTTTAGTCTTGGTTTTGGGTTCCTCTTCTTTATAATCCTCTGTCCTCTCCTTTTGTTCTCTATAAAATTCGGTTCCGTGGAAAATATCGGTTTCTTGGCAGTCGAGGCTGGTGCTTTATTGATTATATTCGCGGTCTCTCAGTCCTATTTCGCTATCTATTGGAACTTATCTATGGTCATATCGATACTAGAGGAAACTTATGGGTTCCAAGCTTTGGGGAAAGCTGCAAAGATTGTTAAAGGGATGAAGACAAAACTGTTTCTCTTGAATCTTTTCTTTGGTTTATTGGCATTCGGATTAGCTCAAATCATGCAGCTGATCAATTTGGGAAGATCGTTCTCTGTTACCTTAACCACCGGTTTGGTCCTTGTGTGTTTGGTCTATGCAGTGAGGATGTTTCAGCTTGTGACTTACACCGTTGCATATTTCCAATGTAAGAGTCTCCAAGGCAAAGACGTTGAGTCGCTCAGGGATGTGGAATATATGGCATTGTCTTCCACTCCTCTCATGGGATGATTGCCTTGATATTTCAAGAGAAGATATTTAATCGGTGGATTGTTTGTTTGTATATGTTGAAGTTCACCATGGATTTGGTAAAATGTTTTGAATAATCAAAAGTTTGGTTAAATTTATGTTTTGTTTTTTTATGGTTTGGTTGAATACTGTATATATTTTGTTTTAAGGTTTGGCTATATATATAAACAAGATATTTTTGCCTTTTTTTGTATTGTAAAATGCCGCATAAGACTTGAGTATCGATCAAAATGAGAAAAGCACTACACTACACGTAGGTTATTTTTATTTAAAGTGCTATAGAATGCAAAATAATATGATTTTCAGACCACGGCTCATGGCCATTGGCGTGAGAGAAACTGTAGAAGGCATTGTTGGTGTGGGTCTCGAACTGGAGATCCGCAACCCGGAAAAGCCATCTACACGTCAACTAAAGAGGAGACGGATCGCTCCGGAAGAAAGCATGAACGCGAGGCTTACTTATACAAAGCTATTATTAGGGGATCTTAGTAATTAATGGGTGATGTTCCTCTGCTTTGATTGTTGCAGAGTTCCGATGAGTAACAGATGGGCTTCGTGGGCTTCTCTTCTCCTTTTGGGCCTGAATCTCTTTTTACTGAAACAGAAACAATGTTGTTGTGATAGATTAAAGTCTCTGTAGGAGATGGAGTCTCTTGTTGTCTGATAGCATCCACATGCATGGCAAAATCGTAAGCCCCACCGTCACTGCATAAACCAGGCTCAAAGAGGAAGCATGGTAGCTTATCTCTCTCGTTTGGTTCACAATCCTAATTTGCATAGAAGGCTCTGTTTTTATTCAAAATTGTTCTTATTTTTTTTCCAGCTTTGGTTAAAGTATTTTCAATTTAAAAGTTGTAGATAAACAAAGTCTTTTGATTCAAATAAAAAGTTGTTAGTCATCTGGGTTGTTTAATAAAATTGACATTGTTCTCCTTTATAAGGATCTTTTGCGAAAACATAGAGAATAGATTTTTTCAAACCATAAATTTTTGGATATTCTTATAATCAACGAATACTTAATTCCATCTCTAAAACCTTCTAATCTATCATCAAGTGTAGTTGACTCGACTCATCAAGGTTAAAGTCTAAAGATCGTTCGCTCGACTAGAAAAACACTAAAGGCAAAGTTTAGGGATGTACGAGATTAGGCTAATTATATATAGTCTATGGAGCTAATTATCTAATCATCCTATACAGAGCCGTGCCAAGGTCGATGGTTGCCGGAGGCGGTCAAATGAAATTTGCTCAATTCACAAAACAAAGATGCTTATAATAATAGAAGTAAAAATGTCTAGAAAAAAAAAAAAAAAAATGTCTAGAAAGATAAATTATCATATGACGAAAGTACGTAAAAACCAAAACATAAAAATAGTTCTAAAGCGTAATTCTTCTCCCTTTCTTTCCAACAAAATCATTAGCCAAACGTTCAAAGTCAACAAAATCATTAGCCAAACGTTCAAAATTTACGATTCTAATTTGGGGAAAAACTGCAACATGTATAATTGAGAATTACATAAAATCATAGGATTGAAAGAGGATAAATAAAGAATCAAACTTATTCTAACGAGTCAATGACGATACGTTGATGTGTTCAAGAGTAATAGAAGAAAAAGTCTTCTGGAAAGAGACGGCAATTAACAAAATAAAGTAAGAGAATGCTTAATTTGACCTAAATTTATAATGCTTTGTTGTGTGTTTCGTTTCCTTATTCTTTTAATATTTTTTCTATTTTAATTTTATTTTTTTATTGCTGAGATAAATGCAAGTGATCTGTCAATATTGGGATATTGGGCCTATTAAACTAAGATAACTTGTAGAAAAATATGCTTCTAAGTTTTTTTAAAAAATTTGTAGACGTAGGCGAAGGTTTCTTTTGTATGCCTTGAGGCACGGCTCTGATCCTATAGACAAAAAAAGAAGATGAAAAACTTACCTCAAATTAAATTCGAATCGTTTATTCATGGATCAATAGTGTTGTTCAGTTTTCTAGCATCCATTTTAAAAAAAAAAGAAAAAAAAAATGTTTCATTCATTTATTTGGATTAGCGATAGAATGAATTAGCTCATGGATGAAGAATTTTATGGTGCAAGAAGAGTTTGAGGAACAAAATATCTTCCACGATTTTTCTCATTTGAGTTCTTTTATTCTATGTTATAACACCATTGTTAAATAATTTACCTTACCAAAAAAACAAAAATTTTGTGGGATTGGTAGCCAGGGCCGTCCCTGAGCTAGTGGGGGCCACAAACAAAGAAAAAAATGGGTCCCCACTTCACCAAGAAAAAAAAAAAATGTATTTGGCTTTTCTTATTTATGAGTTTTTTTTATTGATAGAAACCCACAGAAGGTGTGCTTTTTAACTTTATTGTGATTTATTCTACCCAAACCGTTTTATTGTGACTTTATAGGATTTTATATATTTTACTATTATTTTTATTCTATATATAAGATTTTTTCTTTAAATGGGGCTTTCTAAAAATGGGGTTCAAGTCCATTGCTTCATTTGGCTCTGTTCAAGGTCAGCCCTATCGGTACTAGGTAGGTTACGTGTACAAAATATGTACTATCTAAATATGTTAAAGAGGTGTTAGTTCAACTAAATTGCAGAAGTACCTGTCCGATATCTTATCTGTCATGGCCTTTAACATGTCTCCATAGGGTGAAGTGAAAGCAGTTGTCGCCATGTTTAGGTTTAATAGAATCTCACCAAAGCAACGAACTGATCTCGAAGAAGTCGGCGTGAGGGTTTCTGCTGTTCTACCGAGTAAGTATCAATAAGTTTTATCAGTTTTTTTAATTCCTTTCTTCTAAACTAATCATTTTGCTTCTCTGGTTTTTCTCAGCAACCGAAGAAGTTATTCCTACAAGAGTTGCAGATAAACATAGTGTGACTCTTGCGTGGGAATTATTCTTTGTATAAAAGAAAAGATCACCTGATCGTAATATTGAAAAGAGGTTAAACTTGATTTTTTATATATTGTAAAATAAGTTAAAAAAAAATATAATCTTGTTATTTGATATAAACAAAACACATTATCTAAATGTTACTATTTCAATACAAAAAAAATCAATCTAGATTCAAAAATAGTAAAGATATCATCCAATCACATCCAGAATAACTATTTTTCAAGTATAACGAATGTGCATCCATGAAAATCTTAAAAAAAAAAAACAAATGCTTTCAATATTTAGCTAGTAATGTGCATAAGTAATAATATATGATGTTAAATTCCCCTAATTATACTCTTTGAGCCAAAAATGTAAAATAAATATAAATAATTAAAAATTGAAATTCTAATTAAATATAAGTCAAATAACATCAAGTATAAAATACTAAGTTAAATTTAAAACAATATTATAATTAAAAAAATTTAAAAAATTAATATCTAAACTAATAGATGATTTGAAACACTTTCTTATACAAACTATTTAAATTTCTTGTCTTAGGCTTTCCATCTCTACATATGATTAAGATTTTCAAACCATCTATAGACATTACCTTGGAAAGCACAACATGTATTTGTCTATGAGAAAATGTAGATCTGGCCATCTGGGTGGGAACAAACCAACTTTAGATAATGTTTGACTTTGACTCCTATTAATGGTTATGGCAAAAGAAACAACCAAGAAAAATTGTCTACGTCACATCCTGAACGAAAACTTTTACATTCGGATGGGATTACAAACATTTTTAGGGATTAAGACTTTTTCTCCTATCTTTTTACCAGTTATAATTCGTGTCTCAACAACATGATTTTCTTAATAAGCAACTTATAACCTCGTATCGTTGCATAAACCACTTTTAGGATAAATATTTCTAAGAATAATGATGAGAGCACCGACCTTTTAATATCAATTTGCGGTTAGGCATTCCATAAACCTTGATGTTGTTCAAATTTTTTGAAAATAAAGCATATCATATTTTAAGCTTGTGTTAGATATTGTTTCAATACTATCAGAACTTACATAGACTATTTTTTCACCTATTAATTTTTACAAACAAATTAATATTTCAAAAAAGCATAACCCAAAATGTTTTTCTATATCAACAAAGCAACAAAATCAATCTCAAGAGTTATTATCTTTCATCTTCGACAACATGTAGACACATATCCACATCAATGTTTGGTGGACTTAAAATAATTAACGAAGGTTTATAATTCTATGCTAACAATGCACCTTAAACTTTATGTACGTACGATTGCTTTGATAGGTTCATCACACTATCTACAATGGCATTACCTGTCACAGCTAAGGGCTCATTCCTTACTGTGCTACGTTCTTCTTCTTCACAGACTACATGAGAGCTGCCATTAGGCTCTCTACGCTGTCTCAAGCAGGAGTTATATACGTAATTAATGACACATTATTCAATCGGTCTTGGAGAAGATGGACCGACCCACCAGCCTATAGAACATGTGGCAAGCCTCCGGTGCCATGCCAAACATCTTGATGCTGAGGCCAACAGATGGAACTGAAACCGCGGGGGCGTACATAACAGAAAGAGGCCTTCTACCCTAGCTCTGTCCAGAAAAAATCTGCCTCATCTACCTGGAACTTTGGTCGAGGGAGTGGAGAAGGGGGGATATGTAATATTAGACGACTCCACAGGTAATAGCCCACACCTAATCATGATGGGGACATGGTCGGTGCTAGAGATTGCTGCAAAGGCTGGAGAGAAGCTGAGAGAAGAAGGAAGCTCAGTGAGAGTAGTGTCATTGGTGAGTTGGGAGCTGTTTGATGAACAAAGCAAAGAATACAAAGAAAAGGTGTTACCTTCAGAGGTTTCAGCAAGAGTGAGCACTGAAGCAGGGTCGACCTTTGGGTGGGAGAAGATGGTTGGCTGCATTTTTCACTAGTCACTACTCACTAGTCCCTACTCATATTCACTGGACTTAGCCCATCATGTCTAATTGTCTATTATGTTTTTCTTTTCACTGACTCTGTTTTTTTTTCTTTAGAACTTCACTGAATAATTTTTTTTTTTTGAATGTAATGTTAAATTAAATTCAAAAAAAAATATCGTTTTTACAACATGTGCAACGTTTAATTGAAAAGGAATTTAAAATAGGAACTGAAAATGTTTAATGATTA